TTGCCGCCCTGCTGACTACGTAGTACGGATACACTGCAGCTAGACTCCTAGACTATCAGAATGTGCAGAGACTGCTGCAGTGTCCCGTTTGCTGTGAGACTGGCCTCTGCTGTTGGTCCCTGCTGTTCTCACTGTTGTGCAAACCGCAGTGTCGGGTGGATCCTGAACCACGGGCTAAGCACCGGAACGTGGGGGGCGGCGCTAGTCTTCCGAGGCGACGGGGTCTCCACCGTCGAGGCGATGAAATGATGAACTCATGGGAATCCGGCACTGCTGCGCTGCACCTCTGCTGGACGCGCAGTTTTGCTTCCCGACTTCCTGGACGGCCACGCCGCTTCTGGTCCTTTGCCTTGGGGTTGTTTGATTATTTTCGGTCCCTCGGTCCACGATCGGGTGGAACTATTTGCACCCATGCCACCTACGCAGTAGAACGGACGGAAATGGGTGGCCATGCGCATTACAGCCGACCCATTTTGGCATGTCACAGACTGTCCGTCCTCGTTGCCGCCGTGGGCGCGCGGGTCCTGCGCGATTGATAGCCGAATCAATGGCCACGAGGCCATCCACCTTTAAATGACGACGGCGTGGAACATGTGGTACGACAAAGTTCGGGGGCTCAAAGAGACCAGACCAAATGCAGAGAGAAGGGGGAGGAGAAGAACCTGATGAAGAGGAAAGAAGGCTCGTTCGCCTATGATTAAGCAATACACTAAGGTAGTCTCTTTCCAACGTAAACCTACAAGCATGTCCCGTGAGAACGCCCGAATGTGGGAATACCCGTCCGTATCTTGTAATGTTACGAAAGATGGATGAATATGCCGGATACGCCCCCCTTCCTCCGTTCTCCCCGGCCAACCCCCTTCTCGCCCCGCCGTAGACTGCCAAATGGTTGGTTTAACCTACGGATACGCATGCAGGGCCGGTAAGGGAGATGTACGAGACGAACCAACAAACAGAACAAAACAAGCATGGACAAAGACCACGCAACTCCTCGAGGCTGAAGCTTTACACCACTGACCACCCAAGAAACAAAAAGTGTAGTCAACAATCCCACCCATCCACGCGTCAACTACTACGCAACAAGAGTTGCATGTATGTAACATGGCTCTCGGACTCCTTCGCCCCCCCCCCCCCCACCAGGGAAACAAGTGATCTGCGAAACAATCGCAACTCTGCGGTTCTGCCCCCTAGATTGACAGGTAAAACCGTAGAACAGACCCCGCCATAACCTAGAGAGCATGAACAAGCAATCATACCGGCACCGACGTCTTACAAGGGTGGCAGGAGGTCCTTCAACACTTGCACACGAGCCCGCGCTACGTCGGACCCTTGCTCGCCCTCGCCCATCAACACCATGATCTTGATCATTTTTGCTGCATCACGTTGATTAGCACACAGTGGACATGAAGCCAGGGAGTGAGAAAACACAAATCACAGAATGACGGAAACGAAAAAGAGAGAAAAGACAGAATAAGGGGGGTAAAACAACTCACCAATGTCGCTCCTAGCCCTCTGGAACAATGGATCCCGATCCGCCTCTTCTGCCGCGACAGGGTCCTTGCCTATCTCCCGCAGCACGCTCCCGATACACAGCGCCTCGAGGAACGCGCGGTGGTTGAAAACCCACCACACCCTCGCCTCGAGCTCAAAGATGTCAAACAGCAGAAAGAACGACGTAATCGCCTCGTGCGCCGCCTCCAGCGTGCCCCGCGTATTCGAAGGACACTCTGCGCTCTCGGACGCGTACACGAGCATAATGTTGTGGTGATAATTGCTCGTCAAGAACAGCGTCTGCCTCACGACGCGCTTATTCGTCCGCGCGAGGCTCGCGAGGCTCTCGGCGTCCCAGGACCGGAAGACGTCCGGGAAAGAGCGGTAGACGCAGCGGAAGTCGGCGATGAGTTTGGACTTGTGGCGGACGGTGGCGCAGATGGGGAGGTCCAGAGAGCGCGGGGAGCAGATTGTTTCCTGGACGAGGTTGGCGAGGGTCCAGGAGCCGCGGATGTAGGCGATGTCTGTCGGGTCCGAGGAGGCGATGGCGGAGCCGTCGTCGACGAGGTCTTCGACGGAGACGTCGGTGTGGGTTGCGGACGGGGGGAGGGAGAGGAGGACTGTGAGGAAGGTGTCTTGGAGGAGGACGGCTTGCCAGAGTTTGCGGCGTTGTTGCTTTTCGAAGATGGGGGCGTCGGGGGTTACTGTGATGGTGTTAGGTTTTGGTGCTCTTTGGTAGTGATTTGAATGTTCGTACCGATATTGGGGTCACGATGTAGACCCATTGCGTAGGCCTGCCGGATGAGTATGCCGGCAAACGCCCACCCGTCCGAGGCGTGATTGTCGTTGATCAGGAAGTACGTCAGCCTGGTCCAGTCAGTATCAACTTTTCTCAAGATGGCTACACGCAGATTTGACATGAAAAGGGGGCTCACTTACAACACCATGGACTGGATAGAGCGCAACGAAGCAGCACTCAGGTACGAAAACATGCGCAGCGCCTGGTTACTCGCCGACGCGTAAAACTCCGCCGTCTGCTTCGCATCGTTTGGCGAACTCGACGTCACGAACTGCGTGCCCAGCGCGAGCATCACAAAGATGAGCCCCACAAACGCCGCATCGACGCGGTTCTTCTCCTCGGCGCTGAGGCTCCAAAAGTGCTCATAGTCGGCGTAAAAGGTCTGCCGGTGGATCATGGGGTAGACCGGGTCGACGCACTCAAAGTACTGCGCCAGCAGGATGTCGGCCTGGACTTTCTCGGGAAGGACGGAGATGACCTCGGGCAGGCCGCCCTCGCAGGTCCAGTAGTTTGCAAAGGGGTGCTCGGAGCCGATGCCGAAGACGTTGCTGGCCGTGGGTAAGGAGTAAGGTACGTTGGAGAGGAGGCCCGTGGAGGAGGAGAAGGCGACGGAGCCGACGGAGCCGCGGGAGGTGAAGCCGCGGCCTTCGATGAGGCCTCTGTCTGCTACGTTTGGGATGGTGGAGATGTCGCCTGGGCCTTTTGGTTTCGGGGGTTTTGTCATGCGGCGGCCGTTGGCGAGGGATCTTGTCGTTTCTCTGCTCTCTTGTTAGTTGTGTTCCGAAGGTCTCGACAACAGTCGCGAGGGCTGTGAGTGTGCTTACTCGAGGATCGTGGCCACGGCTGCATATTGGCATTCCGTCTGGCGTTTGATACATGCTAGGCAGTTGGGTCGACCTCGGTCACACTGCGTGCGTGTTAGCATGATTTTTGGCTTGACTTGGTGGATATGACAGGCCGGCTGCTTTCACTTTGAGAGCAACAGCACTTAATACGACGTGGTTTACATCGCATGCATGTCATGTGTCAAGCCTGAGAGCATCGAATATCGTATCCCCAACGTCGTGCAAGTAGCATCATGTGCCCAATGATCAAGAAGACCTCTCGATATGACATTGAACTTTAGTCGCATTGTACACTCGAACCAACGACACGATTGAGTGTGGGGGTAATAAGCACGCAATGATAAGAAATCAGATGAGGTGAAAACACGGAACGAGAAGAACAAGGCATGAAGCACAGATAGCAAAAAGGCAGACAGTGAGATACAAAAATGAATGAAACCTACCTTAGTCTTGCGCTCAACGCACTCAAAGCACGACAACGTAGGCTTATTCCGCTTCTGCTTCTTCCTCGCAGGGCCCTTGTCGCCGCCGTCATCGGGGCTAGCCGAGTTGCCGTCGACGCTCTCATCCGGATGTTGGTGATGAGTTTCGTTGCCGTTGCCGTTGCCGTTGCCGTAGCTTTTCGGTGTCGCCGTTTGTTGCCGCGCGACGGGCGTCGAGTACGACGGTCCCGATGCCGCTGATGTCGTCGGTGAGAGTGCGGCAGCTGCTGCTCCTCCGTTTTGTGGATGAGTGAGTGATGGTAGACGCCCATGTTCTGGTACTGGCGATGCGTAGGCTGTTGAGGCCGAGCTCGGCGTGAAGGGTTGCGGCTGGGGATGTGGGAGATGATTTTTGGGCGCCATGGCGGGCGGTGGGAACGTTGCGCGCGTCTCAATTGAACGAATTGAAGGTGTGAATCAACAACGATTGAATTACGTTGTTAGATGAGCGGCCGGTGCCAAGACCGATTTGATGCCGACTGTCAATGGCGCCGCGAAGATGAGTGAACAGGCAGTCGAATCAATTCCCGCTGCTTGTTCCCGCTGGCGGCACGCCCACGGCGATGCTTCACCGAAAGAAGCTCAATTGAGCCGGCGATTGACTGTCCGGGCGGAGCGTCGTAGGAGAGTTTATCGGATAATCAGACACGGTGACCGATTCGAACAATTAGATTGCCCGGACGTCGCAACCGGCCGGGTTGGTTGAGAGCTTTCCAATGCGGTGCCTCCGTTTCCGCCGGGAATAAAGGCCAAGATTTGAAGAAGCGGAGGACAGACGGAGTGGATGAGCAACAACTCGGCGCGGCGGCCGGCGGGCTTTGCGCAAAGTTTCCCGGGAAGAGTATAGTGATTTGATCCGTGTCGGTGTCGGTGTCGCCGGTGCTCAAAAAGGCCGGAGGGATGTGTGTGTTTGCGCGGTGTTGCGCTGGGAATAAACAGGTGATAGAGGCAGTGTGAAATGCGGTGCGGCGGCGGCGGCGTCACACACAACGAAGGGGGGAGATTGCGATGGGAATAAGGAGGGAAACAAAAGGGAAAGGGAGAGAACGTGCGGAACGCGGCGGGAATTGGGAATGGGGGGGGAAACTCTTTGGGACTCTCAGCCTGGCCGGGACTGGGGGACTTGGCCGGGAGCGACACGGCGGAACGTCTCGCTCTCTTTCTCTCTCTCTCTCTCTCCAACAAATGAACAAGGGCACTCGAAGAAAAGAGGGGAAACGCCGTTCACTAGGTATCCGACGACCTAATCCAGGTCATGAGATGGAGCAACCAAAGTTCATATTGGAATCAACAGCTTCATAAACAGCAGGCCTTGTCTTGAACGTCTTGAACCAGTTCCATTACCTGGTACCGGTTCCCAGGTTCCATGATCCAACACGATGGATGACCAATTTACTCACGGAGGGAAATCCGCGATCGATGGGGGCAAAGAACGAATACGCGCAGCATCAACGCGCCCGCCCGCCCCTTGATCATTGCAACGGGCAATACAACCCCCAGCCGTCCCATCTTCCAGGTTACCTTACCTTTTGCCTCTCCATCATCCGCCTACCATCGGATCTGATAAAAACGTTGAGCGGGAAGACACCGAGGTGAGGATCCTTACCCACGGTTCATGGCCATACAGCAAGACCTGTGTACGAATACAGCAAACCCTCCTCTTGGAAGCCCATCCATCCAAGAGGCCAAGCCCCCGAATCCAACTGCCGGCCGGTCAACGGCGCAAGGCTTGCTTCTGTGTTGCCTGCTTTGATCATTGATGGCTGGGGGTTTCTTTCGATCCAGGCAAGCAACTCAACCACTCAATCCATCCTTGGCTCCTCCGCCCACCACCTCATGGGCTCTACCCATGGCATGCTACAGTGGTGGGCAGATCAGCACTAAACCACGCTGGGGGGCAAAAAGGCTTGTCTTGTCTCGGGCCCCAGAAACCCAGGTCAGATTCGCCGGGAAAGCCTCCCCGAGTGCCGCCATTCCACCATTCCATCATGCAGACGGGTGTGATGCCAGTTCCAGGACCTGGATCATACGAACCCTTGACATTTCTGAAATATCCTGTATATCCGTAGATACGTTGGGTTGCCAACAGGCTCAAGAGCCTCGCCCCTGAAGAACTTGAGCTCTCTTGATTTGCTTCGTGAGAGGGTCAGAGAAAGAGAGAGCTGGTCAGACGCAGGCACTGCGTATACTAGGTGCAGACGCCATTCGCAGCACGGAACAAGCTCTACATTCTCAAAAGAACGGGTAGCTCTGCATAGTATCCTGCTAGAACACCACGATGTCTTATCCAATGCGCAGATATCATTGACTGAATGGATCAAGGTGAACGAGAACGAAATGCAGCATCCAATAGATCCATTCTCATACGTCCTCTCTCTCGCAACTGCACAGATACGGTGCGGTGCTTCTTTTGCCTGCCGCGAACTCCCCTACCCCAGTGGAGTTTTCCTCTCCCCATCTGCGCGTTCGCACTTCTACCCGAACATCGACGTCACCAATACAACCAGAAAGCGCCCCCAACTGTCAACCAGAAACCCTTTTCAACAATGACCTCGTCTCGAGGGCCAAAGCTTCAATATGAGCCACTTACTCGCAGCCTTCTGCTTCCCAGGCTGTTTGTCTCACAACAGCTCTGACTAGCAAAAGACCACGCTGAGGCTTCAGACGACATCCACCTCGGCTCCCTTGCGAATCGCGCCTTGACCCCAGGGGACCGCCGATGTCGCCTGCCGGCTTTTCGGGTACGCGACCCCTGCGAGCTAGAAAGCCCACACAAAAGCGGCCGCCCGGCTGTGCGCCCGCCCTCTGGGACCACGAGCTTTATTAACAGACGAATAGCAGGGACTGACATCCAATCACAAGCCGCGTCGATGGTTTAGTGGTAAAATTCTCCGTTGCCATCCAGCAGCGTCGGGGAGCCGGGGGTTCGATTCCCCCTCGACGCATCTCTTTTGCGATTTAAACCATTTTGGTACTGTAGGGATACCATATTTTCTCTTTTGCCTCTCTTCGTATATCTTCTGCATCTGTAGTTTTGTATTGAGTGAATGGTGGGCGTATCGTCACCTTGAGTGCATGTTGAATCCCGGGTGGCCGAGTGCTGAATCCTCATTTACTCCTGCCCTTTATATACATGGTTTATTGGTAGAGACGCCAATTTTGTTAATTAATGTCAGCTGCTTCTGGTCATGAAAATATTCAATACTACCCAATTACTAACGTTGACTCGGATTCATATGTTTTGTTGGTTGTGCTCAAGACAACGACATGCAACTGAGAGTCACAACAGCGGCAGGCATCATCCAAGAAACAGCAGTTTTCTTTCTACTCAACTCTCCTTCATCAAGTCTCTATCCGCTACCCAGGCCTAGGAGAAGCCTCGAGCGAGGCCTGTCTGGTACATTGCTTATCCTCAACCCGCTGTCCATCCACCAAAACACCATAATACCAACACAGCAAAACCCAGCAATCAGCTGGAGGCATAGAACAACTGAAGCCGCAGCACACCTTTTCAGAACAAAACTCGCAATAAATGGGGGAGTTCCTTTCGCTTATCCGTGACTGTCCCCTTACTCCAGCCCCTGTAAGAAAAATGAAATCCCTTTTCCACTAGGTAACCGGTAACCCTGTTCCAGCACTCCATCCATCCGTCTCTCGTCCTCCATTATTTTTAACATCCCAAAGGCCGTATTCTCATCTACCATGAACCCTTCCACGATATTCCCAAACTCCCCAAATGCCATATGTGCTGTGCCGCGCTGGCCAAGGTCTAACCAAAAATCAGAGCGCAAGTCCTGTACCATCGCCGGTCCACCGGTACAGAGCAAGAAGTTCCCGTCGACGCTGGTGCTGCTCATGGAGATCCTCCGGCACCCGACCCCTGACCTGCGCCAAAGCACTTCGCATAACCTTGCTAAAGTTGCGCTACAAAGGGAGAATAGTTAGCACCCAAGTCTCTCGAGCACGGAGAAGACATGGGGGAAAAGAGAAAGAAGCTCACCTGATACTCTGTATTCAACGTCACAACGCAGGCCTCGTGCGCGCGCACAATCGTCTCGCACGCCTTGACGACACTAGGCGACGCCTCAAGCTGCAACTTATCCGCGATAAGGAGCAGCAAAAACGACCCCTGGAGCAAGTAGATACCGAAGAAGAACGGCATGAACTCCAAGCCCGGGTCGAACTCGAGAATGTGGCTGATAGCTTCGGCCGCCGAGACAGCGTGGCCAGTCGCCGTGATGAACCCTTGCGACGAGATCCAGAGGTCGTTGTCATCGATAAGGTTGATGGGGTCCCATTTGCCCGCGAGCAGAATGTGCAGCACGTGCATCACGTGCGTACCGTACGCCATAACGATCTTGGTCTGGATGTCGCTCTCCGTCATGCGGTTGAGCGATGAAGACGCGGTTGTGTGGACGGAGTGGACAGAGGGCGTGCCAATGTCAGCAATCGGACCGTGGTCTACGCTACCACCGTCAGGATTAACTACTACGTCGCCGTTATCATCGAGGTTAATGTTGTTGACCCGCGTGAGATGAAGCTGCTCGAACCGTCCGAGGCTCTTTTCATAAGCCTCGAGATGGCGCGTGATCTCGCTGGCTTGATCGTCCCACTCGCGAGCCGAGCGGAATCCCACACCGAACCGCGGATGGTTTCTGGCGTGGTGGAGGTCTACGATCTCACCCAGGATCGTCATGAGCGGGAGGAAGTAACCGAATATGCTGTGTCCCGTACACTCAAAGTGCGGACCGCGCACACGGCCGCTCGATACGCCGCCGGCACCGGTTGAGGCGTCTCCGCCCAGGCTAGGGTCTGTCGTGACGTGCGCGGGTCTGAACTCGCCATTCTGCCACGCCGTGTCGTCCATCGGCTGCAGCAGACCGGCGCACTCGAGGTCGAGGAGGAATAGCGGCCTGTTATAGCACAGGGCTAGATGGCGGTCGACGATGTACGTGAGCCACCATATCCTTCGGCGCTCCTCGCGCTCCTCCTCCGTGATGACGCCCGGGTGCCCGCTGCCTGCCAAGTCATCTTCAGCCTCGCCGTCTGCGCCATCACCATCGTGCCCGTTGCTCTGGTTCATGGAGAGAGGGGTTGGCGGCAGTTCACGGCCGAGCTTCAGCTCCCTGGCCAAAGACCAGGCCGCGTTCCACCACCGCAGGCTCGCGCCCTTGTACTCGCTCGCGGAGACTACTGTCGCGAGGTGAATGTAGGTAATGACGTCGTCGAGGGTGCCGGCGGCTCCGAATGGACCAGATTCACCCGTCAACGCGTCCATGCTGATTGACCCAGGAAGCGCAACGCCGAGCCCGCCAAGTGCTACGCCATCGATGGCGGGGCTGGTCACCGGTGATGTGTCCCCAGAAGGTGTATGAATGAGCGGCTTGAGAAGGCTGACGGTCAGCTCCAGCAGCCTCTGGCAGATCTTGCCCCGTGCTGAGGGGACGCTGGTCAGGAAGGGTGCATCGCTCGTCTGGGCTGCCACCCAGAGTATGCTGGCTAGCAGAGCCGGCTGGCATCGTCTCGGTTTGCTGGGGTGGAGGAAAGACCTCTTACGGAAGACGAAGCCCAGGACGTAAGGTGACATTGGGTGCATCTGTGCCGAGGACGAGGATGCGAAGTAGAGGTCGATCAGGTCGCATGCCAGAGCCGCCGGGATGAGGTTTCCAAGATGGGGCATCAGAGGATGCAGGACCGGGTATCGTAGTTGCTGTTGACCGGGGTGGCCGTAGCTGGTCGGAGGCATATGAGACTGGTATTGCGCCGCCGGCGGAGAGGACATGGACATCCACCCGGGAGACGTCGGCTCACCACCGAGGGGGTATGCGCTGATCGGGCTGGCTGCGATCCGGAATGACGCGCCGTTGGTATATGCTGTTGGGCTCTGGGTCTGCATGGGATACGGTATGTCGGGATATGCTGATATGCCACCCTGATTTGGACCGTACGCTGCGTGGGCCGGTCCCGGCATTATGTGTGCGCCCAGGCCTTGCCTGTCGTATCCTCCGTGGACGCCCCCGTAGCCGTTGAGATCCATGGTTGTTGGGCTTTCGAGTTGATCTCTGTCCATCCCGTGATGAGCTGCCAGGTGGGCTTGGTGGCTCACCATATCTCCCATGCTATCGAGTGAGCCGGTCCTTTGGCTTTGATGCATGGCTTCCTCGCTGAGCTCGTCGATGGCCTTGCCGATGTGGCCGTGTTGAGAAGTCGTCGTGCCTAGTGATGGTGCTGCCTTGGCGTTATTGGACTCGGATTGCTCCGAAGGCTGCCCATTGTCGTCGGAAGGCGATTTCGAGCCCTGATCTGCGCCCGTTGTCCCTGCTTGCGCGGCGGCTTGCGCGGCAAGGTCTTTTCGTGATGCCTTGCCTCTCTTCTTCCTCTCGCGGATGTACTCGCAGCCCAATCCGAATTCTGAAAACATGTCAGTCAGTCTGGTCCAGTCCAGCTCAGCTCCCCCACGCCACGCCGATCATCTGTTCAACTAATTCTTTCTTACCTACACAGTGGGCACAGGGATGTTGCCCATCGCACTTTGTACGCAGCTGGTTGCACTGATCACAGGCTCGACTGATTCTCCTACGAACGGGGCCGGATGTGCTAGAAGAACGACCCGCGGGTCCGCCGCCGTATGGGTGTTGACGGTGTTTTGTTGACTGAGGGCCTGCTCGCGCGAGGTGTGGGCTGTGGACTCCCCCAACCTGCTGTTGAATCTGTTGCAGCGCATAGTGCGAGCTCGGCGCGAGGGGGTCGACACCATTCGTATGGGCATGGCCGTTGGGAACATGGTGGGCGTTGGAGAAGAGGGTGCTGGACTGCATGCCATGGTATGGCGAAAAGCGGTGGAGCGGGTTGGACAGCATCCTGTCTTCTTCGTGCTGGGACCAAGCCCGCTGTTGGCGATGTAGTGGCTGAATGGTGAAAGTGCTACTCGAACAACGAGCAACTATCTGCCTTCTCTCATGCAGATAGGGACGTGAATAAGACTGCGAGATGGGCGACTGGAAGGATTCGAAGTGGTTAGACGAGTTATGTCAACCAGCTTTGGCGATGTTGCTCCCTTAGACTGGGGCAAGCGATAGATAATATGCGAGCCTTCAATAACACAAGGTGACTTCTGGTTCGGTCAGCACTGCTGTAGGCCGTTTAGGATAGTTGGGGGCGCAAAAGGGGGCGGGACGGAGAAGAAGGATGGGCATGGGGTATAGTAATATGAGCTAAACTGAGAACAAGTGGTGGGCGTGAGATCTGCAACGTCGTTGGAGAACGGCGCAGCATAGAGCAACGACAATCATGGCGGGGTTGATGTACAGACGGCTTGGGTGACAGGGTAAGGAAGACGGGACAAGCGACAGGGTGCTTGAAGGAGTGCGGCGCAGAAGATGATTGAGCGAAAGAGAGATTTCTGTGAAAGTGGAATATTGGAACCGAGACCCAAGTTAACTCACCCCTTGGAGATCAGCCCGTGAAGTTTATGAATGTCGGTCGTTGCCGTAATTGGGGGAGTTCCAAATAGTTGAGTCGTTTGGTTGCGTTCCGTGTCTCGCGTGTTGTGCTGCGGCGGGAAGGGTATCTTGAACAATTGGTTGGTAAATCCAAGTGCGAGGTTGTAATATCAAGGCAATTCGGAAGCTTGAAAACAGTGGTTATTCCGAATCTGTATCGCCGGGGTTGTATGCGACGTTGATGTTCGTTTCGGTGGTCTGGCTCGGAGCTCTCCTCCCTTCAAGTTCTCGATGTCCACTGCGGCTCTCTTCGACGGATGGCCTGCGCTCGAAGCTTGCCACGTATGTAGAGATGGTTCAATAGAACGTGAATGCTGTTCAAGCCGTTGAGTTACTGCTCAGTTTAGCTGGTCCGCTTGCTGTATGATAACGTGGACCATCGCATTTACATTGGTAGAATACCGTAAACGGCGGGATAAAAGGGCGAAAGGTGTGGAGGAGGGCGGCGGCCGCAGAAGCAGCGAGCGGATGGATGTATGTACGGGGCACGCGCGAATGATTCGAGAAGAAAATTAAAATTGAGAATAGGATGCTCAGCGGCAGCGCATGCGCATGTACAGAGAGACGTACAGACGTACCAACGGCGCGTCAGGTAAGGTTCTCGAAGGGGGGGAAGAAGCGAAATGGTGACTTTGTGGTTCCTCGGGCTTAGCTATATTATATGGGACGCTTGTACATAATAGCATGCGAGGACGGGGCAGGGTTGCAATGAGGGGAACAGGGGTGATGGCTCGACGATGGGCGACAGTAAGGTGAGGAGCAACGAACGGCATCGAGAGGAAAACTGGCGACGGGCGGCCATTTACGGGTGTGAATGTGGAGAATCAACGAGCATCTTTGGGCGAGGAACAGGGCCACATGCCCCAAAAGATGCTGCGCCGGTCTAGAACGACGGGCTCATCCCATCCATGGTCCATCCTCCTTCTCCCTATGATGGATCATCTCGTCCTGGTTGGAGCGACGGGGTTGTATGAGAGAGAGTGTGTGGCTCAGCATTGGGTTCGGTTGGTTGATCAACAATAGCAGAACAAGGTGAAGCTTAGAGCCAGCCCGGTGAGGGTGATGAACGCGTTTCCGGTCCATTCCTCTGGAAGGATCAAGGCATGACATGGCGGTGACAAGACGGCATGGACTGTCATCAAACCTTTTCCTCCCCACCGGGACAGGATCCCCACTGCTTCCATGGTCTTGCTCGGCTTTGTTTTTGGCCTGCCTCGGGACAATTACCTAGTCACAACATGGCAGTCACTGTTGCTTGGGTTAGGACGTCGGCCGAAGATAGCGTGGTGTGGCAGCTGTACTCCGTACGAAGTAGCGAAGAGGGCGGGGGTGTTGGCGCGGCACATTTTGGGCCCTGGGGGTAAACGAGGAGGTGGGAGAAGAAGATGGGGAATCGTCTCTTGGAAGCTTGAGTCTCTCTCGCTTTCTCCAGTCTTCAGGCTCGTCTCCAGACCTCCACCGGCGCGGCCCCAAAGTGGGTTGGGAGCAACAAGCTTGGTACGCTGGACTGTGCCATCCCGGCCAATAATGCCATTCGGCTTGGCGGAAGGCTATCTTTGCTTGTTCAAGTTCTCGTTCGGTCTGAGTGCAGCCGAGTAGCAGACGCACCGCCGTTGTTGGAACCAGTCTCGTTGGTCCGGTATAGCGACGAACACGCAGCCTCTCCCTCTGGCGTGCCTTGTACATAGGGCTTTGGCTTGCCCGCCCCCGCCGGTCTTAGCGGTTTGCTCTCTCATCCCTATGTATAGCGAAGTGCCGATATAGGTACAGAATTGTGTGGCGTTGTTCGCTGCTACGACGAAAACGGCAGACGTGAAGAAGGTCCGGCCATTTCGGAGCTACTCGTCGGTCGTCTAGCTTTGAGGCGCTATATGTGCCTTTCGTTATGCTTTCTATAGACGGGGTGACGGAGTCAAGCTTCCTTTCCAACATCTGAACCAACCGTAAATGGGCTTTTGCTACTTTTTGCTGGTCGTATCCTCCCAGATGGCGTCACTACAAAGTGCCCAGCTACGAGCCGCAAGTCATACAGTGGACATGCACTTGTGTGGTGGAAGGGTCAACCGATGGCATTATCATGCTCACCCTCCTGATCCAAGCTTGCGATGGGATCAAGACGAAATCCTTCGCTCGAAAGAGCGCGCGCAAGCCAAGGGGACGACGTCCCTGTCGAAAGCCCCGGATTCTCGTTGGATACTTTGATGGAAATTGCCCAAACGGGAGCCAAGGACATGGGGGAATGACCCTTTTGGTTGGCGTCTACTCCGTAGAGAGAATCTTTTGCCGTCATGACAATAGCGCATGGAATGGAGCCAAAACTAGGCGGAAGCGGACCTCTGGAAGGGTGGCGTTTACGGGTGGTTCTGCAGACTCTCGCCGTTTCTTCTGTCCGGCACGACATCGCTATCCGTCATCTGTCGAGCCGCGCCACATATGCAACCTCTACTGCGTTCACTGGAGATGAGTTGTCTCGTTTCCCCGGTCTGCACTCTCCAGGTTTCTGACGCAGGTTCTCGGTGCTGGTGGGTTGTGCTGGAGCTGTCGGTACATGGCAGTACAAACCCCCGTTCAGACGAAAGACGCATAGCAGGGGTCTGTGCGGTAGAAGAAGAGTTGACCCGACGAAGAGGTGTGCAAGGGACATGGGAGGAGGAGAGGATTGGATGAAGAGTACTCTGTAGAGATGGAGGAGTAGAGATGGAGGTTAGTATGAGGAGAGGATACTTGGGTGACACCGAGTCAATTTGAGTGCTGCTAGTCACGCGGAGGGCCCACTCCGAGGGCCCGTCCAGTGTCTTCTTTGCTGCATTCAAGGTCAAGTTGTCGCTGCTAAACATGCCACTTTGTATCTGTAGTCTTCAGGATGATCCTCCAACACTCTTCAGATGAAGTTTTCTCTTTACATCATCTAGAAACTCAAAGGCTTTGTCAAGCTTCATTAAAGACAGAGATTGCCTTCTACCCCTAGATGCTCATGCTCTTCGACGGCGTGTGTGTGTTAAGAACAACATGTAGCAGTCGCTCCCCTGACAGCATCTTTGGGCAAACTCTCTTGTTAGCCCCCTCCCAAATTCCATCAAGCCTTCCTTCGAAGAAGCTTCTTCGAACACTAGACACGCGTCAACAAACTCTGGGGATTGGAAAGGAAGGTGCATCCCTCCGCTAGCTAGCATGTCCCCTTCAAGGTAAACTAGGACCATCTATACCGCGAACACTGCCACAGCCACAACATACCCTTAACAACCCCATCCCTCCGGCAAGATCGTCAAAATCAACGCCACAGTGATCACCAACCTGTTGGTGGTTGTGGTCTCTTTGCATCAAGTCGATTGGCTTGCCTTGTTCGACCGTGGTGAGACACCGTTAATCCGTACGCTCTGGTTTTCTACGCAAGTGCGAAACTCACCACTGAATGTCAGAGCCTTCCTGGTCCAAGGCTGGCGATGACAATGACCCATTTCCTCCATAAGCACAATATCGAGGAAAGTCCCGAACGAAGACGCTTGCAAACCTTCAGCTCCGGTCCCGCAGGTCGAGTGCCGGTAAATCCAAGGGCATCCCTACCAGCTCCTCCGGACCCAACGACAACGGCAGCCCCATCGCCGGGTTGCCAGAGTCAGCACCCTGTTGTCCGGTGATGGTGTTGACTTAATTTCAGCTAAGGCAGCTGTAAGGGGCATGCTGCGGCCTGCTTCAAGGGCTGCGCAGTCGTGCCCAACCCCAAGAAAGGGTTTTAGGTTTTCCCAAATCAATTTCTACCCGTGGCGACGTCGACAGCGACTTGTCAGTCACAGCTGAGTAATGGGCAGAAGTCTTGCTTGTTCTCAGTGGATCAAGTCAATAGCAACAAGTCTTCTGTGTCATGCACAAGCTGGACCAGCATTAGACTCATCGAAAACGGGCTCCCGCATACCGTCGAGGTACCCAAAGGAACATCCAGCTTGGCTCTTCGTCATCCATCTCAACTGGCTCGCGTCCGCTTCAGATGCCTTCTGCAGGCTGCCACACCAATCTCACCTCCTGTACAGAATAGATGCCCAGTGACACCCTCGCGCTTGAGATGAGCATGGAGAAACGGTCAATCTGATCCGGTCCACTAAAACGCCTCCCACCGCTTCTCCGCACATGCGGAGCAAAGGATGTTTCTTTCTCCTCACCTCCCACACCCCGTTGCAGTCATCCCGCCTCCTCCCCACACCACGCACACCACCTCTTGGGCTGTTACCACCACCACAACCAAAGATTCCATTCGGTCCTGCCCGTGGGATACGCCGGGTGCGGGACGGTGCCGAATCTCTCGCAAGACTGGTCTTCAAGGTGCCATCTTCACTGTATCTCATTCTCGAGCTTCCTCGGCCCTTTGAATGAGGCACACCTGCTCGTCTTGCCGACCCGAGTGCCTCGGGTTTCAAGTGCCTCGGAGCAGGTTGAGTGAGCGTCACTTTCGCAACCTCTTCCTCAAGTGTGTTGGCCTTTGCTGGCTATTGGATCTAGAAGGCCCGAGGTGAGCATCAGCTACGAGCCCTGAGACCAGGTATGGGCATCCTCCTGGACTGGCACGAGTTGAAGAACTGTAGAAATTGGAGGAGCTAGCTGACGGCGACAGTGAGAGTGCGTGTGGGGCCTTTGGAGAACTTTTGATGGAGGGTCGGCCCTTGGTCCACCACCACCAGCCATGAACCCAGCACCTATGATGACGGCCCTCTCTCACAGCCTCTCAAAGCTGGGGGACCTCCTTTCATCAAGCCGGTCTTGGAGTGACTACTACTCAAGTCACCGACAGACGAAAACCCTCTCCATCCTGGTCGATGTGGTCGAAATCTCGGTCGCGCACAAAGTTGGGTGGCGGGATGCCATCCTGTGCCGTGTGTGTCTGGCTAACACCTCGCTACCAAATTTCGCATTCGAGTTTTGCAAAGCTGCCTGGGCAATCCATGACTGAGAGAGCAAGTGACCACAACCACCTGCGTAATCATTTCAAGGTTTACCATTTTCTCCTCAAGAAACATCACCTTCAGTGTATGGCATATCGTATTCTAGATGACTCCCCAAACGAACATGCTCATTGATGTTAAGCTCCCCTTTCCCTCGGAAAACAACTAGCAACGGAGGAAATCCGACTCTCTAACGATGACGGATGAACGAGAATCCGGCCAGAAGAGTATGGCGCCACCAAATTAGGTTGCTCAAGTGTGCCACGAGGTATTTAGCCTGAATACGGCACGGCGGTCGCGCGTGGCGCCATACCATAACGGTCGTCGGTCCGAAATTCCCCAAGATGCGAAAAGATCGGACGCTTCCCTTGTAACCTCTCATTCGTGGCTTTTAGATAGAGCCCCTTCTTTTCCTCCGCGAACCAATCGAGGCCCCCTGTTCTACCCCGAATCATCCACACTGCTCATATTATTCCAAACCCCAACATCACCAACCGCTCTTCAGATGTTCATGCTGTACGGAGTACATTGCTTGCCAACGGCAATGGCTTCGTTCTTTACTCTCAAAGTCTAGAGGCAGGTTTCTGTCGGCTCTGCGGCCTGCGTCAACATTGCGGTTTAGTAAGTGCTGCATGTCTTGGTCAGTAAGTACCTTGTTTACTCCGTGTCTCGGGACCTTAAATTCGGTTACCTTAGTACGACTCCTCTCAAGTATTCACGGCAGGTATGCTCTGGAACCCTGGTCTTGTCTCATTCCGTCCCCGACTGTATCGTACCTTTCGGATGACGGTGTCATCGTCTCCTTAGCTCATTTCCGTCAGCTAAACGAGGCTTCTTCCGTTCGCCCTTCACAACCACGTGGCAACGACACATGCCGTCTAGGCTTTCCAGTCATCTGGGGACATCGGCCGGTGAGCTAGTGTACCGGCAGATCGCCCTCATACCGGGCACTCTGCCTCGTCAGTAACTAGTCTTATGCTTACACCTTTGCCATCGCCGAAACTGAAGAACTCAAGCCCCGCATAGAGCTTCAAATACTATCTACCCATTTGAGACACGAGCTCAGTTTGCGGTTTCCAATCTGGTACGCGGCGGAGGCAAGTGCCCTGTCATCCGCTGGTATTCAAATCTCGTGCCGTCTTGGCTTAGCTAGGCTACCAAGAAATCCTCTCGACCAACAAATCAACATCAAGGGATCTGACTTCCATTGGCCACTGCTACTGTGATCGGTCTAAGCCAGAACGCCGCAACCCCACACATGTTGTTACGCTGCTCTGGGGGTAAAGTCAAGTGACGGCGAGTTGCCAACAGGATCTCGCGTAGCCCTGCCCTCAGGTCGCCACATACTCTGCAACTTGATGGAAGGCTGAGGACTATTCCACTCGAAGCAAGTTGCTTCACGGGCCCACCTACATTCTCAAAATCCTCGTATCCATGCCTGTATGATCCAATATTCGTTGAGGCCTTCGGCAGCTGGACCGCCCTTCCATCCAACGAGGATTACGTTCTAGATTCTCTCTCTGGAGACCCCTTCCCATCGTGTTAGGGCCGGACTGTCTAGTGACTTACACATTTCCTCCCATTTCTCCCAGATGTTCATCGACCGAGGAACCAATAAGGCTCCGATCTCGCTTGCTGGATCAAAGTTCCAGGGAGAGACAAGCGATCTGGGCCGCAGGTCCACTCCCGGCTTCTCGGGACCGGCATCATTCTCGGCCTCCTTAGTGGACTATCGGGGAGTTTCCCCGGCCCTTGCTGCATGTCGCATGAGACCACAGGCGTGAAAGTAGACTTTCGGGACGAAAGTTCCTTCCGTGACCCGTAACTCCAGTCTGCGCTGATCTTGAGGTTCCTTCACACCCGTGGGCCCAGCTTCAATCCAGGCCGTGGCAGGGATAGCGTTTCTTGACGAGAGATGGGGAAGCCGGTCCAAGAGATGGTACACCCATCCAAAACGAAGAAACACCATGATTTGACGGGCCGCCCACGAGCCGCTCAGTAAAGGAGGAAGCGGCATGCGACGGTGCCTGGTCAATGTGGGCAATGATGTGCTACTCTCGGGCGTCTAGGCCCGATCACACCTAATTGTTGCAACCTCAAGATAACCTGATTGGACCTGTCTAGATGATCATCCGATCAAGGAGCATTCACTGAAACCGTGTCGTTATCTACTAAGCCAACCGTCCCACGCCTAGTATTTAGTAGAAAATGAATCTATTGCGTTGCCACCACACGGCTTATCCGGGCCTGCTAACAGGACCCCTCATCAGGGGTTCTTCCTGCCAGACATAGTGAAGGAAGTCTCCAGATGACCATGAGCCAGGCCCAAGCAAGCTTCCGGCATTTGAACCTCATGACCTGACACCTGCACTCAAAATCCGGGGTCGGGGGAAAGGGGAAATTTCACTGCATGCAGTGAGTGGAATGCTGCCTTTCTCCCCACCCACGTGCCGGCTAAAGTCGAATGTTGAGGCAACTCGGAGCTGAACTGATGCAGTCTACTCTATTTAGACAACGAGGAACTTTCGAAACGTCATTAGCGGGGAAGGTTTCCTCGCAAATGTTGTGGCGGCGTCTGTACTTATGCTTCATCTCAAAGCTACAACTAGGTGTCATAAGGGTTAAGCCGATAGTCGAGAATGAGAGAGGCGTTCTAGCTGAGAATCGTTCTAGCTTTGATGCCATTGTCTATCCTCTCAAAGTTGCTGGTGTTAACATTCTCCAGGGCACCGGACATGGTCTTTGCTAGACTTGGCTCAGATCTTGAGCATCCCAGCTTCGTGTTGCCGGCCATCGAAATGGATCAAATCGTCACGCAGCTGTTCTATCTCGCAACGCCGACCAACCCTGCGAGCTTCTAGGAACGATTCCTTCCGTAGACCTTTGATAGAGCAATAGATACTAGCACGCATTGAAAGCTGCCACGAACAAACTGAGATTCTCAAGATGTATGAGGATACACCCTGCCTTCTCGAATAAGCTTAGGCTATCAGCCTCGTTTGGTATCCCATGGTAGTCTCAAACTTGGATTCGGTTGATGGCGATGTTACACCCCGCATTCTTAACTCTACTACGGAGCCATGGCTCATCCATTGGAAATGGACTCAGTGGAATCACTTTAGCGTAAATAGAATAGTCGGAAGGAAGGAGATCCCTCTTGATCTTCCCCGTTAGGAAGCAATGATGATTGACTCTCGTGTGCTGAAGTCGGTCAATAAGAACTTGATCCTCGAAACATCTAATGGCAGGCTTTCTACTGCTTCTAGAGTCGAGCACAATCCATAGTTGGGTACTTGATTAGGAGGTAATAGGACTTTCTAGACATTGCCTTCAAAGGGATTCAAGGAGGTATGGAGCGAGCAACAAATACGAGATAAAAGCAGTAGAAGGTTGTTAAATGGAATAAGAGTCAATGCGAAAGAGAAATGAAAAGCGTCTTGGTCAGACTCAAAGGACATATTTAAAATAACCTTATGTTCATGTCACAGATGTCGAGTGGTCCCGGAACGGGTTCACCAATAAGGAGTCGGGAATTGGATTTTATCGGTCGCTTATTTCGTAAGCGACGTGTCGTCCTAAAAACAAGACCTTCGCATTTGCCCCATGAGCCAGCTAGCTATCTGACGCTGGAAGGATCTTGGATGTGAAAAACACGAACGACCATATGGAGAATGAATGGCGAGCGGAATACATATCGCGATCTCTGCAGAAAGACCAGAGGCCTATCGGACGCTATCGTCCTCATTCTTATCAGTGGTGTGCAGCTGCAATGCTCGTCGTGTCAGCCATGGGTCGCTCTGAGGAATATAAATTCCGCTACATCGTGTCTCTGGCAAATTGGACCAAAGCGTGGTCCAGGTGGGTGAACATCAAATGAGGGGATCAACCTATCTTTTCCTATCTTTGGGAACTACGATCTGGTTTGACCTCTTATCATAAATCAAAACTTAAATTTTTTTTCGGTAAACCTGCTATTTTCATTCTTGACACGTATTGGACCAGGTTTCGTTTTTAGTGATTGCTTGAAAAAATGGTGATCAATTCTCACGGAGAAAAACTCAGATTTACGGACGAGGTATTGTCCGACAGTAGCCTGCCACCTTTACAGATCGAGCTGCTAGATGTTTCTTCATCGTCATCGGCTCCTCACACCTTAGGTGACTTCACTTTACCAGCCTTCCAGACAGCAATTGTGACACCAAAATTGGGCCCAAAGCTCAACCAAGAGGTTCAGCTAATTCCCGTGCAACATCCAAGGCCTGGTGAAGTTGTTGTGAAGATAGCTTACACAGGAATTTGCGGTAGCGTAAGTGCCCCCCTCAACCATTTTTATGATGGCTCTGAACAAATTTTATTCACAACCTTTACTTACAGGATGTTGTCTTCTCTCTCGGCCCTGAGGACGGCCTCCGTGGACCAAACCACATCGCAGGCCACGAAGGCATCGGGCATATCGTCATGAGCCACGACAAATCGCTCCTCGGCAAACCAGTTGCGGCAAGATATCTAGCATCTTACTGCCGAAGTTGCCATTACTGTATTCGCGGCGTTCCAGAATCCTGTCATAAGCAGATGACATTTCCTCGCCACCACAATGGCACATTCCAGCAGTACATGACCGCACCTTATACCTCACTTATGCCTCTGCCAGATTTTATCTTTGATGAAACGGCGGGTGTGAGTTTTGGTCTGTATACTACGGCGCTGTGCTCTGGTGCCGCGGCACTCAAAGCCTTGAAAGCGGCGACTCCTGCCCCCGGGGACGTGATCGTTGTTAGCGGGGTGTGCGGCGGGATAGGACATCTGGCCGGCATAATGGCTCGCAACGTGTTTGGGGCAGAGGTTATTGGCATCGATTTGCCGTGGAAGGTTGAAGCATTGGGCTCAAGGGCTGCTGACGTCTTTGACGAATTCATCGCTGCGCCTTTCAATGCGACGGAGAGGATTGAGGTTATGGAGAGGATAGCAGACGCCTGTGCTCGATTGCGCCGTGTAGGAGAGGCTCGCCGCGGCGCAGACTCTGTTCTTGTCACATCAGGTGACGAAAGTGCTTTTGAAGGGCTGATTGACTACGTTTGCGACGGCGGCTCGGTGATTTGCGTAGGGTGAGTTTACTTCCGGGCTATTTGTGACCGACGTTGCTGACATCTTTCAGTGTGACGAAATCACGGGGCAACTTGACAATTCCCTTGGCCTTGATGGTTGAGCGCTCCATCAAGCTTCAAGGTCTGTTGATGGGTGGATGGGATGAGAGTTATAAGGTCATGGAGTATATCAGGGATGGTAAAGTGAAGCCTATAGTTACGGAAGTCTGTCTTGAGGATACACCATCCCGAATGGCAGCTTTCGCGAATCATTTAAACACGGGAAAAGTGGTTGTTAGGGTGGACTAGGACAAGCGCTAACTTGAATTTGAAAGTGTCTGCCACGAAACTCGCGTTATCGAATCGAGACCCTCGTCAGTAATTGCAAGTCGTGGTCAAAGTTCCTGCCTTGTGAGGAAATCTATGAGTCGATTACTCGTCAACAATGAGGTGAGCCTGACACCCCGAGTAGGCCTTGCCGAAAGTCGCCTACCACGCCATTCTTCACGCTGAGTGTGATACCGAGACCCGAAGGCTTCAATTGGTATGCCGGGATCGCCTATACCATTGCCATTTATATTCCGACCATGACGATATTGAGAAACTGACGCTTCTGACGTGAATGGTTGAAAGTAACGGGAAATCAAGAATTTAAGTCGTGATATTGGTGTGTAGCCTACGTATATTGTTGTGCTTGCCGGTGCTATTCAGGCACGTGGGTAGAACATTGAGTGTTGTCGACTTCACGTTGAATCGAATACAAGAAACGTCATTGGACACATCTGAGAAAACGATCTTGCTTGATTTCTCTCCACAGATTCACTACGCCAATACACTGGCCCCTTTCCCATGCCAACAATTCCAACCCTCGGAGCCTTAAGTACCTTAGTGTCTTCCAACTGTAACCCCGGAAGATGTATTGTAATGTCGAACTAAGTTGACTGTTCCCTCTTAGACTGCATCCTTTCTTCAATAACGACGGCCTTGTCTGGACCAGACTCAGAAACTGCGTGAATGGTTCGAAGGTTCTTCTGCCACGTCCGTGAACACCATGCAGGCACATTCTCTTCAAACAATTTATCAATCTGTTGGAATCAGCCATGCGCATGGGACTATGAGTTTGATTTTCCGAGCAGTGCAACTCACCTCCATTCTGGAAAGCCCCGTGAGTTCTGGGGCACAGGTGTATGCCCAGACCAGAGACAGAACAGTCATGCCAAACCAGATGTAGGACACCTTGACTCCGAGGTCTCCGGCAGTCTCATCAATCATGTAAGGCGTAACAAATCCAACCAGCCACGTGATGATCCAGTATGCCGTCAACACGATGGAAGATTGGTAATTTCTCGCACGGTCGGACAGAGGCTCTGTCATCAACAGCCAGCCTACTTAATTCGTCAGTGGAGTTCTCTTCTGCAGAGTTCTAACGCAGACAACTTACCCCCAATACCCTAAGTTGGTGCGTATGAAGCGATAAAGAACACTGCCCCAACGATCAGCATCATCTTGTCAGCTTTGCTGTCCGGAGCAGCGCTATGGATGACGCCGGTGAGTAATTGGGCGAGCCCCATAAGGATCCCGCCCGCGATCAAAGATCTTCTCCTTCCCAGACGCTCAATGAGATACATGGAAGGTGCTGTGAAGACGCAATTGGTGATGGCGAGAACCAGAGAGATCAGGTACGAGTCGTCGACACCCGCCGCGGCAAAGAAGGTTGTTCCGTAGCCGAACCAGAAGGTGATGCCTGTGGATATAGTGAAGAATGACATCGCCACGCCAATGTGAGTTCTTCTGAGATCGGTTCCTCGGAAACACTCGATGAATCTTGCGCTTCCGTGCGTATTCTGATCTGTAATGTAATTTTCGATTTCGACCATGGCGTCGTCAACTTCTAAGGAGTTAACGTCTGCGTTGCGGAGAACGGCAAGAGCACGGCGCGCTTCGGATTTCTGGTTCTTCTTGGCAAGGAGGAGTGGCGACTCGGGACAGAAAAAGACACCGATGACAACGATCAGTGCCAACACCAGCTGGAATGCGATCGTAATGCCTACTTCCGGGTCAACCTCTGCCAATATGTGGTCATCTTATTCTCGCAATTTACTTACGCCAACTCCGGGAATCGTTATACTTGGAAGTTGCCAGGCTGATGCCACAGGCTATGACGTTGCCTGTGGTGAGGAATTGGGTGTAGAATGCCATCAATTGTCCTCGATTCGTTGGCGTAGAGCATTCCATGAGATAGGCAGGAACCTGCATCACAATAATCAGCTGTCGTTCAAACTAACAAGAAGTGTGAAGCTGAGTTCTTACTGCGATAGAGATGAGGCCGAGAGCAATACCAAGTAAAATACGGCCCACGATGAATATGGGTGGGGCAAGTCCAGCGGTCTGGAGCGCTACGCCTGCAGCATAGCTGATTGAGGCTGTGAACAAGTTGCCGCGCCGGCCAACTGCGGAAGATCAGCAAGTTTGACAACACTCTAAGTTCGAAACGCCTAAAGACTTACGCAGATTGGTAAGAGGTGCTACTAGCTGACATCCTACAAGAGCTCCAACGACGAATAACGCAGAGAATACGCTCCGAGTATATGGAGTCAAGTATACGTCTCCGGTGACGCTATGTTTGACGCCGTAGATTCGGGTGAAGTCCTCGGATCCAAGCACGCCGTTCAAGTACCCGGTATTATACCCAATGATAGTTGCTAATGCAGCTTCTTAGAGACGCCACGATTGAGTTGCCAGGACGAACTCAACAGACGAGAAGATAATGCTGTACACGAGAATTTTGCGGGCTGATAACATTTTGGGTAACAGATGAGGAAATTCGAAGATTGATGGGCTGCCTTGCACTCAAACTTTCTCATTGTAGTGAGCGCATGCCTCATGATTTAATAAGTCAAGCCATCGATACATATAAACTAGACTGATAGACCCAGCTTTCTGGCCAGGGTCACTTGGAGGCGTCTAAAGAATTTGGTCAAGACCTTTCCGTAAATGGTCTATCAATCATTCTGTTGGTCTCGTCGAGAGATAGGAATTCGCATTCCGTCTAAGGGGGCAAGACCATCTGTTATCTCACTGGCCTATGAGCTTGGGCTTTGCGACAATCTGTCAAACTCTAAATTCATAATAGCGATGACTTCTTATCAGCTGCACCATGACTAGATTGCATGGCTCTGATCTACTATCAAGCTGAGTCTTGCCTTACAGTGTACTACAGGACGTGGAAGCCTGTCTACCCTGAGTTTGGCCTGTTCTTGATGCTTATTCGAAGAGTCGAAATTGCCGAGTCTTTTAGACTCCTTCATCAGATATCTGTTATCAATGAGATTCCAGAGTCTGGCCTAATCTTAACGCTTGACAGTGTTTGAACTCGCCGAAGAGATGAAGTGAAGACGTGATTCTTCGAGTTAAGGTGCCATAAGAAATGCTTTTACTTCGGCGGGGATCAATTTTGAAAAGATTGCATGGCTATATGGGCGAGGGGAGTTTCATGCGCACCCGCCGTTTCGTTTACGAGTTGCGGAAATGCAAATTTAATGTCTACATTGAAAAGTCCATCGTGCCAGCCACAAGAAGGCACGAGAAGAAATATCTTGAAGTTTCAATTCTTATTTGCGACGATATCTCTCAGACAGCGTGAGCCACAACTTCGATTTCCACGCGCATGTCATCTTCTCCCAAACGTGGAACGCCAACACAGGTCCACAGAGGTTGATGATCCGGCATCCACTTCCTAAAGTTACGGACCATCGCTTCCAGAGCTTCGTTGTTGATTGGGACGTGATATGAGTTGATACGGTAGACTTGGGTCCATCCTTTGCCACCAGCATCCTTAAGACATCGATCCACATTCTCGAAAGCCAGATCGATTTGGGTGTTGATCTCCTTTTCGAACTCTCCAGTGATCGGATCCCAACCACCTTCAGTAAACAGAGTTAGACGTAACTTCGATGGAATAGGCAACAGATGAGCCTTTGGGGGAAGGATGTGATGGGAAAGCTCACCTTGTCCCGAGCATTCAATGCGATCGTCGACTCGTACTGCCTGGCTGTAGGAGTACCTTTTCTGCCTTTCAACCCCCTGTCCCTCGTACGCAAAGAATTGTAGATGAGACATGACTTCGGGCTTCCTCAATTGCGGTGACGTGATGGCTCAGTGTGAAAAATGACGACAGACTTGCAACTAGCAGATGATCGATGAAGACGAAAGGGTTCGTCGCAAAGAATTGGATGCAAGAGAAAAGATCTGTAAGTTCCAATAGAAGAAAAGTCCTCCCTGCGGCTTTTGCAATGTACACAAGTTCCATATCTGGAAAATACCGACGAGTCCACCAGGGCATTTAAGGAACTCCGCGAATAGCGAAATACATAGACACCCCTCACGCACTGGTAAGACTTTGAGGCGCGGAATTCAAGTCCCTCGCGAGATAGCATGGGTGCACGGATCGCACCCTTCTATCCCAACAACCCGAATCCGAGGCGGAATTTGAATTCCTTGAGGATTTTCGATATCGAATTAGGCTCTCACGTCACACCCAATGGATGAGCTGGACCCTAATCTGAGTCTTACCCCTAACAACTGGCGGAGTTGAAGACTAGACCTCTTTCTTTTCTCCCACCTTCCCAGCTTTTCGCAAGCCAGTCGAACTGATCAGTGTGGCCACAACAGCAGCAGCGAAGCATGTCCAAAATCCGCTCCGGTAGCCCTGCAGCAGAGAAGAATTGTATGTCACGGAGCCGCTCGTAGCCATTTTTTCGCTTCCAGCAGCTTCCTGTACCGAAGCCGCAATCATAGCAGTGACAGCCAGGCCGATGCTGTTGCCTGACTGCGCAACAGTGTTAAAGACGCCACCTGCGAGAGCCTGGCTCTTGCCCGGGAAGTTATTCGTAATGACCAGGTTGCTGATGTTGAAGAGGAGGTCGGTGCTGATGACGCTGATGATCATGGCCGGGAAGGCAGACTTCCAGTACATCCACAACACATCCTATAAGGCAAAGATAAGAGGTGCCGCGATGCTCATGATTCCCCCGATGAGGCTCAGCATACCCGCGTCGACTCTGTCCATGATATCGGCTGCGACGAGGTTGGTACCTAGACCAGAGACAACCACTGGCAGAAACCGTACAGCCGTCTGCAAGGCATCTAGCTGCTGGGACTCCTGATAATAAAGAGTAGCCCAGTACGAAAAGGCGTTGAACCAGGACCAGGTGAGGAAGACGGAGAGACAGACGGTTGCAAACTCGAGTCGGTGCCAAATGCTATTTGGAAGAACGGCTGGGCGGCCAAGTCTCTCCTGACGACTCTCCCAGAAGACGAAAAATGGAACAAGCAATCCGGCAACAGTTGACAGGGAAATGGAGTGAGGCCGGCGAATAAAGCTGGCGACGCCGTTTGTCAGCTCGGAGAAGAGGTAAGACAGGAGAGCCAAACAGGCACTAGCAGAACCGTCGCCGACCCATTTTGGCTCATGGGCAAGACGGTGGACCATGCTCTTCAGTGAGACTCGGTCCGATCCCGGGAGACGCCTAGGCAGATAGAAGAAGGCGAGGATCATGAATGCCGCATTGACGCTGGTGGACATCCAGTAGCCGGCGCGCCAACTCGCGGCCTGGACAAAGATACCGCCCAAGACGGGGCCCATGGCGAAGCCAACTGGATTACCGCCACCAAAGACCGCAAAAGCAACATTGCGGGTGCGACCCGCGGGTAAGCTTGAAGTTATGATGCTCACAGCGGGCGGCATGCAAAAGGACATTGCTAAACCTTGCACCCGTGCGGAAGGCGATGAGCTCTCCTCCAGTGCGACTGAGCGACACTGCCAAGGTGAAGACCGTATATAATAACAGGCCCGTCAAAAGAACGGGACGGTTACCAACAACGTCGGCGATGGCGTCAAGGGGAAGGAGACCGCACGACAACCCTAGAGCATAGACAGATGCTGGCCACAGTTGCACACTCGGAGCAATGTCGAGCTCCCTGGCTACCGCAGGCAGAGCCACGGTAAGCAGGCCGGAGTTGAAGGTATTGAGAAGCGACACGGACGCGGGCGTCACTAGAATGCCAGCCCTATGAAGCTTACTTGGAGGAGCCATATGTTCCGAGGGTGTCGCTTCTGGGGAGGGTAGCCTCAAAGTCTCGTCTGCTGCCGCCAAGGTCTGCTTGTGAAGCGGCACTGGCTACTGTGGCTCCCACGAGCGGCTATGTTGACGTTTCTTTCCATCTCGCACCGATGTTTGACCACCGAAGTCGAAAAAGGTATCGGCGTTGGCCTTCGTCTTGATGATGGTTTCTAGTTCGAACATTGTGTAAGACAGAACAGAAAACGAAGGTGTGAGTAGGTGTCGACTGGTATGTGAGGACTATCTTCTAGCCGGGACCGAGAAAACGAGGCGTTTTATCCCACGATTCCCTCCTCTGCTGACTAAATGCCGTCATAGTAGGTTCTTTGGCTGATCAGATGAGAGATTGTACAATATGACGCCAGGATTATACCACTAAACACAATGAGAAAGTGTTATTGTTTGCCAGAGTCCATAGTTGGTAGACATTTGGTGGAAGCTGGCATGTAGATGCTCAAGTTCAGGACAACTTGGAAACTGGAGTTTGCGCTTATCAATCAATTTATTAAACTTCGCCGCCTACCAAACAACCTGGTTCAGTAGCGATAACAAGTACTAGCGTTGTTCTATTCATGTCACTTCCTAGTCGAAGTTTCATTATCCGTAACCATGCTATCAAATGTTCTTTCCCCCTTTTCCTCTCGGCAGAAACTCCGCAGACTGGATCTGAAATTTTGAAAGCAGAAGATATCTGATTGGGTAGTATTACGAAACCGAAACAGAGTTCACAGATGCTGACTTTCGTACTTCGTATTATTGCCTATGATATCGAGTAGTGCTTTCTGAAGACCTAGTATCTGATATTTATTCAACAATTGCACCCAGTCAAATGGCAGCTTCACTAACAGTTCCTGGGACAGATCACTCCATTCCTCGGCTTACACCTCTGCTTGCTGCTTGGTTCATCGTTCTACCTGCCGTTACTTTTGCACTATTTGACCTTGGTCTTGGAAACCGCCACAGCACAATCCCGGCTCAAAACATGACGACCCCTTTCCTTGACACCATCGCGGCCCGCCGATCCTGGTACGCCCTGGGAAAACACCTGACCATCGATCAAGGCAAAGTGAAGGCCATGGTCGGTCATGCTATGCAGTCGGTTGCTAGTTCATTCAATTCGCAATCCAACCGCGCGGTCGTGCTCTTCGGCTCCGAGCATGACAAGCTGTGGGATATTGTGACTAACGTGCTCAAGGCCCAAGTCACTACGGATCAATGGGTGTCTACGAGCCAAAAGACAGCCGGATTCAAAGCCGCTGCCGGAACTGTATGTCACTCAATCAGTCCATCCTCCACATTCAAATTCACCAGCGTGATCTAGACATGCAGACGCACTTCAACGAAGGTTATATTCTTTGTGGACGGCGAGATAGTCCAAAGTTTCGCCAGAAAGTTTCCAACTTATTCAGACCAGTTCCCGTCTGGGCGGCACAGTCGAATGCCATGTTGCAGCACACCACTTGGACGGCGCTGTCAGCCGAAGGGCTCGGCGCCTACCAACAGCATTACAACCCCCTGATTGATGAATTGGTAGCCGCAGCCTGGTCTCTGCCACCTGACTGGCGGCTGACGGCTCAGCTTGTGTTTGGCGAGCGGATCGGCCCTAGTCCGGCGCTGGGGAAGCAGAAGCCATTAGATGATAAACTGAAGGTCTTTGGCGCAGATACAGGAGTTTAGGGCAGACTGGGGTCCATGAACATAAGCTATAAGGCTGTTTAGACCGTTTGTGAATTTTCAAAACTAAATAAGACCCAGAAGTCTGAAGCAGCGCTTCCCTCAGCGTACCGATACAACCCGACCTCGACCTTCTGCTTAATATACTTGTTGTCTCTCAGCTGAGTATTTAGGTTCCTTGCTACTAGATGATAAACTGTATCAACTTCAGGATTGAAATAAGGGACTTCATATACGCAGTAATATGCAAGGCAATCGGGCTAAGAGCCGCTCTCTGTACATTGTCCAATGGGCCATGGCACCTTTATTGGATACCGGTGTGACAAATATGAATAGAAATGTTGTGCTGAGAAGTTTGACAGCAAATAGGCGCCTTGGAAGACCGAGCCCGAGGCCGAACTGGAAGAAAATAGGGTGGCATCGGCCTCGGCTTCGCGGGATTCGGGGTAGGCGGCTTGAGTGACTGTTACTGCAATTCCACGGAAACCACACGGTCCATCACTGTCTCAGCCGAATTATCAGTGTCAGGCTTGTTCGCCCTAGATTCTGTCCCCCTCCGTTACACCATGCTAGGCCCCTAGCTAGACACAAGCTAATGTACCCCGCGATCCAATCCTCACGACGCCCAAGTGCTTGGTGACTCTTACAGGTGAAACGAAGACATTTGTGTGACCAGGGAGTCTGCTGAAGATCTTCTATATAATATAAGATAGTTATCTATAGTCTTAAGCGGTGATTAAAAAGTAATGAATGAAAATCTCTTAATTAATCTGTTTAACCGGACCCAGAAACTTGATGGTCCATTTACCTTCGCCTTGAAACGAGAAGAATCCTGATAACTTAGCTTTGCAATCGCAATGTTCCGTCTTCTCAACTCAATTCTTTTCCTGGCCGCTACTGTTTTGTTCCTTCTTTGGAAAGTAAGCAAAGTGGGATCTAGGCCACCCGGCTATCCGCCCGGTCCACCAACATTGCCAGTGCTAGGCAATTTGCATCTCGTTCGTGAACCAGTCAACCACACTGAGACAAGCGGTTTTACTAATAGCATGGACATAGATGCCGAAGTTGAGGCCACATCTCCAGCTGCAGAAATTGGCCAAAGAATATGGGTAAGACTTCACATTTACCTTTCAGAAGAATAATCCAAGGAACACAGCAGAAAAAGAGCCGAGGGAAGTGAAAGTATAAATGTTGACTGGATGGAGCGGTAGGCCGATTTACTCATTGATACTCGGCACGAAAGTCATGATCGTCCTATCATCAGATACAACTGTCAAAGAAGTGTTGGACAAGAGGAGCGGCAATTACTCTGACCGGCCAGATATGTTTATCGGCCAGAAAGTAGCCAGCGGCGATCTCCGCCTTGTTGTGATGGTAAGTCGACGACAGATGAGACAAATGACAAAGGTACAGAAGGGAACTAGCAAGCTGACAATTTTCAGAGATACGGAGACAACTGGCGCATGATCCATCGCATGGTGCACAACATCTTGAACATCAAGGCTGCTGTCACTTACGTGCCTTACCAGGACCTCGAAAACAAGATTCTTTTGAATGACCTCTTGGAAACTCCTTCCGATTTTCTCCAGCACATCAGAAGATTTACCTACTCTCTTTCTACACAAATGATATACGGTTATCGCTGTACTGATAATCATGACCCAAAGCTTCTGCAGCTGTTCGAGGTAATCATGTCTTCTCATCACAGCTGATGTTAACAAAAAGTAATGCTGCGCAAAACTGACTATTGATGACGCAGAGTTTCGAGAACTGGGGCAAGTTGTCCGGAAGCTCTAGCGCCCAGTTGGCAGACATCTATCCTTTCATTCAGAGCTTGCCTAGTTCTATTGCACCGAACGTTAGATACGCCAAGCAACTGTACAAGATAGAGAGCCAGAACTATCTCCGACATTGGATGATGTCGAAGAAAGCGCTCGACGACGGAACAGGACTGGTGAGTGCCATACCTAGTCTATGACTCGGGATCAAGGGATTCGTGCTGGGACCCCTTTTTGACAAGTGACTCAACAGCCCTGCTTCTGCAACGATATATATCGCGCTCAGACGCAAGAGGGCTTTAGCGACGATGCTGCTGCTTATATCAGCGGCTCGCTGCTCGAAGCAGGCTCAGACACAACGGCAGGAACTCTCTATGGTTTCATTCAGGCCATTATCGTCTGGCCAGAAGTACAGAGAAAGGCCCAGGAGGAGATTGATCGCGTGGTTGGTCATGACCGTCTACCCACCGTCGATGACTACCAGAATCTGCCTTATATCCACTGCTGCATCAAGGAGAGCCTGCGGTGGATGCCGACTGTTTTCCTTGGTGTACCTCATGCAGCAGTTAGGGATGACGTTTACATGGGTTACAACATCCCGAAAGGCGCGACTGTGATTAACAATGTATGGTGAGTCAATCCTTGTAGAAGTCACGTACCAGCGCCCTTGTCGAAGCGGCAAGTCTAATGTCTCGGCGCAACACAGGGCCATTCATATGGATGAAGAGCGCTCACCAAATCCCCGCGTATTTGAACCCGAGCGCTTCAGGGACGATCACACGACACTCTACCAATCCGCCATGGGAGACACGAAGAAGCGTGACAATTTTGTCTTCGGCGCGGGACGACGCCTTTGCCAGGGCATTCATATCGCTGAAAGATCCCTATTTCTGGGCATGTCGAGGCTCTTATGGGCATTCGACTTCTCGCCTGCCCTAGATAGTCGAGGTAATCCGGTGAAATACGACACCGAGGACCTCGTCGGTGGCATTACTGTGCAGCCATCTGAATATCCCGCCCGAATCAAGCCTCGGTCGGCGGGGAAGGCCACTATCATAAGACACGCTGCTGAGAAGTGCAAGCAGTTGCTGGACCCGGTCACCATGCAATGGAAGCAGGTCCCAGAGGGCATGGCCTTCAGTACATGGATGCCAGACAGCAACTATGAACACTCCGACGACATGTAGCTACTTGTAGTATGACTTGAGATAGGCAAATCAGTTTAGTTCAGGGATGTATAAACTTCGAATTTCCTGGATGTCCGTGCCCTGATTGAAGCTGAGTGAGATTGATTGGGGAAGAAATGAAGACATCTCATTTGAGAAGTTATCATTGAGAAACATATGGTCATGGCTAGACGGCCATTATAGTTCAAAAAAATAATCTACATGGCGGGCAATATTAATTTCCTTAATACTGAGATTGTGATTTCATGAAGCACGAAATTAATCAATGTCTCATGCTAACTCTGGAACCCAGAAGGGACTAGTGATATGAGGGCATGTTCTAGATTAAGGACGCATACTAAGAAATATTTGAGGTTGTGAGGATAAGGCAAGGAGGCCGAGACAAAAGACCACAAGGTCAAAGATGGATGGATTGATGCAAATTGCAACTTTACTATCAAAAAGTGAGGTTTTCCCGAGCATTCATTTATGGCGTCGCCTCTGCGCTAACTTTGTTGGGAATGCTCTATGCCTTCACCCCCGATTCAGCAGGCACTTCTATTCCAGGCTTTGCATCCCCGATGACCGAATTCTTCACCTCCGTAGTCATGTGACCAGAGACAGTCCGTAGAACAGTATCTGCGATCGCCGGTGAGTTCACTGTCTCAGCTCTCCAGGCGACATGCTGGTCTGGGCGAATTAGAACCAGGTTTCGCTCATACAAGGTTCTAGCTTGCGCCTCTCCCGGAAGATTGATCAGCGACAGACTCAAGCCCAAATCGTTCGCGGCTTGGATAAGATGACATTGTCCCACATCAGTATCCGTGAAGCAAAGAAGTGACCAGTGTTTGCCAAACCTGTCAAATATAGCGGTGCCATCGGAAAGGAAAATGTGGGGAGGTCGACCACCAGGCCATGTTGTTGGCGTGTAACAACGCGGATCCGAGGGAGGCTCGCTGCCGTCGTCTTCTTGATGTACAATAATGTGTGAGTTGTACCGGTATCCCATCTCAATTCCAAGGTCCCTGTTTTCTCCATCATGCCTTTGATAGAATTCGTCAACACGCTGTCTGAGCAGATGTGCTTCTTTTGTGTCGGTATCAACGCGACGAGGGTCACCGCCGCCGAGCAGCGTCTGCAACTCATTGTGAACCTTGAAGTGATCATGGGACCGCTCCACATTCTTGAGGGCTACTGGCTTGCGCTCTAGCTCATACGACCTGAGGAGCTCTGGCCCGCCCTCACCATTGATGACTGAGGCGAGCTTCCATCCGAGGTCGAAGGCATCCCCAATACCCATGTTCATCCCATACCCCCCGGTGGGGATATTCTGGTGTGCCGAGTCGCCGGCAAGGAACACATGCCCTTCGCTGCTTCTCCATTGGCGTGTCACGGCGACATTTGGCCTCCAGATGGAGCGCACCAGAATCTCGTCGATCTGGAATTTGTACGGCTCGTAAAGCCCTCCAAGGACACGGTAGACTGCATCGCGAGATTCGATCTTTTCGGGCTCAGCATCAAGGGGCAGGAACAGATGGGTCGTCCAGGTATCTTTCTCGTCTTGCGAGATGATGGCCCCTTCAAAATTGCCTGACTGGCCGAGAAGGAAGATATGCCAGAACCTCCCTTGTTTGTGTAGTTTTGTTAGATCATGAGACTTGAAATGAACTAGTAGGGCACAAGAGGGTCTGGAAAAGGTTATTAGAGTTTGATCAATATTCGCCATACCTTACTGGTCAAAACTCACATTGGGCCTCCGTCGAGAGGAATCGACAATGACGTACGCGTTCGACTAGAGGCGCCGTCGCATCCCACGACATGGTCGGATCTTAGAACGGTTCTCTCTCCGGTATTCATGTCTGTGATTGTCGTGTGTGCGAAGTCCTCTTGCTCTTCAACGTGTTCAACCTTGAAGCCATAGTTGAGGTCAATAAGAGGATCGTCGTCGCAGATATTCTTCAGCCATCTTTCAAAGATGGCTTGAGACACTCTCTGCCAGGGCTCTTGGGGCTGTGTGCCGTTATTTGTGTTCTGGATTTGACATCTGAATTTGTCTACTCCTGGGAGGTCCCACTGCGTGAGCGGCTTTTCAGCAGAGAGCCCAGTGGATATGATGACATTCTGATCGATACCCGGCGGCACGCCTTGCTTTCGGAGGTCATCGGCGAGGCCCAGCTTGTGAAATATCTCCATTGATCGAGCGTTGGTCAGGTCCATTTTGGGCCACTTGGTGGTGGTCTTATTGCGTTCGAACAGTTTCGACTTCACACCATAGAAGGAGAGAACTCGCGCAAGTAGCAGACCGATTGGTCCACCTCCCGCAATGACAACGACTCCCCTGGGCAGCAGCTCCATGTCAGGTTTTGGCGTCGGTTCGTTCGAGACCATGATCTCTTTGCTGCAATTCGGCGTGTCTGTTGAGATCTGTTTCTTGCAAACGTCTTAATGTCTCTTGGAGGACTGGCTGTAGTTATTCCAACACACGCAATTCATGCACATAGGTAGGCGGAGGGACCATAAGATGGACCTACATATAAGACTCAGACCACCATCGAATGCAGAAGAGTGGCCTGTCTCCATTAAGACCTTGGCCAGATGCCGGACAGGATATTGTGTAGCTTAGATAAGTGGCTCTAATGATTAAGGACATGCAATATACCATTCTAAGCCCTGGCTTACGTTTTTCAGGGTCTTGGGTGGCGGCAGAGCCGATCCATGTGTTACTTGATAGGTAATTCTCACCGAAGGATTGCCGTCACTCCACACTCGCTCACTGTACAGCTGACTTGCAATAGGGAAATGGTTTCTGCAGTTTCTTACCGTGCTCAAATCAAAGTGGCGTATACTCGTAGGTTGTCTAAGGTGAGACCAAACGCCCCGCTCGACGCGGCCCGGCTACCTTCACCCGGCCCCACATAGGCCGACGAGAAGTGGACCCCGAGCCCGAAGCCGAAGCCTAAGCCCGATAATGCGCTAGCCGTAGCCGTGCTCACACCCACAAGTGTGATCCTATTTTGGTGCTAATCCATCCTTCTTTGAATACAACCAGCTTCTCAGTACATTCAATATTTCCATTATTCCGGGGTTACCTCGTAATCATTCACCAATCTCAGAAGCAGGTGTTCTCAACACTTTGGCACAGTATTTCCTGGAGTCATGGGCTATCGCATCAGTACCCCTGTCAAAAGCCTAAGTCAACCCTAGGCTTTTGAAAAACGCGTCACTTCTCTATATTTAGGAATCTCATGGATCAATCGCTTTGTTTTTGATAATTTGAATCTTTTGCGCCTAGCCAGACTCTCCTTTGGTCGGTTGCGGAAGGGACAAAGTCGTTCTCATTTTCAATGGCCAAGCCGAAGTCGATACCCGAGGCTGTCATCGAATGAATCGACAGTTTCCAGTTTCCTGCTGACTACACTGGACGGCATAATGCCAATCAGCTCTGTCTCTGCTGGCGAGTAGATACGCTAAAGAATTCATCTCTCGTGAGTCTCTGACAAGCCGTGAGGCTTGCTTCCACCGATAGCGGCCACGCTTCTCAGGCTCGTCATGTTCCGATGCACACTGACGTCGCAGACTCACACGTATGGGGAGTCATGTCGTTGATCGAAGCAGGCACAGAACCAAGTCGCTGCCAACATTGATATACGTATCACAAGGTACCCTCAATGGCTCGAACCGGTTGATTCGTGGAGTGGCGAAAGGTCAATTGCAACTATTGAGATTGTGTGCAAGGGGAGAAGAGAGGGCATTGGAAAGTTGATCAAGTGACCGTTGGTAGCCCCTGCGACTGCCCTGACTCGTAGTCGTGTTGGACTTCCAGTCCGACAGTCAGTCCGCTGCATTGTTCGGCCGCCAACACATGCTCTGGTTTTCCGAACGGTAAAGAAGCTTTTCAGTGTACATTGACCCCAACCCAGACCGGCGCTGGCGTGATGATACCAAAGAACGTCAGGTTGGAGGGGCCTTGAGGGCCATCAAGGTTAATTATGTACGTACTACTAAGCCAGGGGGGTAAAATTCAGTAAGACTCATTCCTAGTCCACCTGCCGGCTTAAGGAGTCGGCGTCCTATCCCTGTTCTTAGAGAGGGCACTTACACAGTACCTGATCCTGTGGTACCTGCTCCTGCCAGGGGGTTGTGGGGACGTGAGTCTAAACTTAAGCCCCATGCTGATCCCTGCAAGTCAAGCTAAGCACTAGGTCAAAACGGCTTGTGGGACTTAGGTCCACTCAAGTCGATCAACCCTGGACAATGAGTGACACTGGTGGATCATATGGGCAGCCAGAGGCAATTCGCTGGGCTGTTCATGTACAGAGTACTATCCAGGCTGAATGAGCTCTGTCTGTCTAGTATGACCTACCTAAGTATGAAGACAATGAAGCTCAAGATATTAGGACTTGACCCAGCCATCCGGGACGATGACTGGCCTAATTACCTTATATCTTGCAGAACAGGGAGGAATGGTGCTTGAGGCATGCATTGCTGAGACTTCTATTTCGTGGTACAGTCGGCTGCCCTGTTCTGCTCACGACGGACCTTGTACCTCGCTTGTACAGTCGGAAGTGAATGATCAGGGTAATAGTGTGGGGCAGGATACTCGACGGCTTGCAGGACCTTGGGTACTGACGTGATAGGCCGTTTACCTAGACAGAACTGGACGAGGGTTTCCCATTGACTTACAAGCAAGAAACTGCACGACCCTGGAGGTGAGGCATTTTATAGCAGGCTGAAGGGCGTTGGCTGCTGTGCCTTTAAGCAGCTGTGGAGGCGATGCTCTAGGGGACCGGACATCTAGGACTAGCAGAAGCTCGATTGGATACTGCCAACGAGCGGCAGGCTAGCTATAAAGGAGGTGCGTTTTCTTCGACAGCTAGTTTGCTGACATGCCTTACGCTGTCAAACATCGTTTTCCATATCATCTCGAATTTCTACCATGGCGGCCCATGCTACCGACAATGAGGCTGCAGTCCATGAGGCTAGCACTGGAGCTGAACCGGGCGTCAAGCCAAGGAACGCCCTCCTCACTAGTGAGGCTGTGGATGACATCTCTGGGGATGATCATGAGCAGCGCATGAAGGACCGTGCCCTTCTCTCTGCCCAAGAAGAGAAGAAACTCTTGCGCCGCGTCGACTTCCGCTTGATGATCTTGTGCGCTATTATCTTCATGATCAAAAATGTCGATTCGAATAATGTCAGCATCACCTATCACCTCATTAGAAGCGGCAGAACTGACGCATGGCAGGTTGCAAATGCCAGAATCATGAACAAGGGCACTCCCCGGAACATCATGACGCAGCTCAAAATGACAGCCGATGACTATAACTGGGTCAGCACAATTTACAACGTGAGTGCTTTGAAGCTGATATACTGATTCGTGGTCAAGGCCAACATAATTCACAGATTCCGTTCATGATTTGCGAGATTCCCACCAACATGGTCGTGAAAAAGATGCTCCCCTCACGATTCCAGTCGCGCATCATGGTAAGCCCCGCACCGAGGAGCATCTTGCCTATAACCTGGCAATAGCACGACTTGCTGATCTCCATAGGTAACTTGGGGCATTGTGTTGGCTTGCCACGCTGCCGTTACATCTAGTGCTGGCCTCCTGACCGCCCGCTTCTTCCTTGGTCTTGTGAGCTGCCACCGATGTGGGTCCACATGATCAACGATACTGACTACCCAACAGGCCGAGTCTGGCATGTTTCCAGGTATTATTCTGCAGATGAGCTACTGGTACCGCGCCGATGAGATGACTCCTCGGCTCTTGATTTTCTGTGCGTGATCCTCCTCTCCATAATACTCTAGGGCTGTGAATAGAATAGGCCACTGAAGTAACAACAGACTCGTTCGAATTCTTCGCCAACATTGTTAGTGCTGTTCTAGCCTATGGATTCAGCGGTATGAACGGGCGACATGGCCTGTCTGGCTGGCAATGGTTGGTTTGCTTTTCCTCACATTGGCTGCCTCCAGCCCCTGACCCATCGCTAACTGGACTTGTAGGTTCTTCCTAGTTGAGGGTGTGATTACGATTGGCTTCGGCATTTTGCTTCTCTTCATCTTCCCTGATTGTAAGACCGTTAAGCTCAACCATCTCTGAATGATTTCTAATGAGACCGGTATTCAGTTCCCGAGCAGGCCAAATGGTTGTCCGACAAGGAAAAGCGGTTCCTCCAAGCTCGCCTACCACCAAATGCCCCTCGCTCTTCCGAAAGCAATTTCAAGGCGAGCGAGATCTGGGACACCATGAAAGACCAGCGCCTCTGGTGGTTCGCGTTCATCTGGGCCACTAAGACGATTGGTAGCACCGGTCTTTCGTTCTACTTACCCACCATTGTCGCCAGCCTGGGACTTGCGTGAGTGACAATCGATGCCGCAGCAAATGCCCGTAGTGCCTAGTCCTAACTCATGTTTGACAGTTCCATCGCCGAAAGCCAACTGCTCACCATCCCATCCTCAGTTCTGGCTATTATCCTCATTGCTATCAGCGGTTACTTGACCAACTCGTTGGCTGTGCCGTACCCCCTTGTGGCACTGGTGTACCTGGTCTCTAATTTAGCGTGCTACGGCGTTATGGTCGCATACCCGAACAACGGAGGCGTGTATGCTGCCACGCTGATTGCTGCGGGTGTCTCGCTGGCCTGGTTCGCTACCATGTGGCCATGGCGTCTTCAGACGACGTTCAGGGCAACGGGTTCGGCCTTTGCCATCGCATGGGTCAACGCCCTTGGCGGGATTGGTACTATTGTTGGTCCCCAGATCTTTCGCTCCAAGTACGCACCCGAGTATACAGTGTCGTTCGCGGTGGCCATGGGCATGACTGGCGCATGCATCCTCGCCATCTGCTGGACCTGGTGGATTACAAGGGAAACGGAGAGGCAGACCCGTCATCTGAGAAAGAGGCGTCTCGCCGCCCACAAAACCAACGAGGTCATTTTGGATGATGTTGACATCGATGCTGACTTCAAGACACCGAAGGTGCACACTTAGGCGATTGTCAGGCACTTTGTGCCTGCAGCCCGCTCGACTAGGCCCTGGGCATGATATGATCAGGTTCAAGGTAGCACAAGGTAATATCAACATATATGTAAAGTATGTATGTATATATATTAACACTCTTTTGGCCATGCTGGGCTGAAGTTTATGATGTCGAGCGTGTTGCCGGCTTTCTTATGTTCACAGGCTGCTTGGGGGTCTGGTAGTTCAGGGCCTCCGAAAGCTCGTGCAGAAGCCTGTGAATCATGCCAGTAATTTCTTTCCGGGAGTGAGAGCGACGGCGCATGAATGACGTTTTGCGGCGATTGTTGCTACCTCAGCCCAGCAATCTGTTCAAACCAAAGGATACAGGCGCGGTCATGATGAGCCATGCCCCTGATATTCACACCTCGGATTTCCGCAGCAGCTCGGAGAGCCGAGCAGTTGCGAAAAGATCCAACAGTGAGAGTGGGGCGGCTTCACGCCCCGATAAGACAGACGACTGCAATCCTGTCCATGCATAGGTTGACAGTAACGGTTTCATTGCGAATAGATGCACGAATGAGAAGCGTGATTTCTTGACCGTGTTGTTCTAAGACCACAGACCTTTTTGATCCCTCCAAGGCCTCGTATGATCACATCTCTCAACGCCAGGGCATATTAGTCCTGGCACCCAGCCTGTGCGCATCCGCGGACATATCCAATAGTAATGCCAGAGTTATAGCTTCGATGCCGGAAGCAACATCAGCGGTCCAACTTACAGGTCCAAGCATGACTGACAGCTCACTCAGCTTCTTTCAGGAAGCTGCTCCATCTAACATGTCACACCGTGGTCAAGAACCACTTACTTTTTGTCGGCAGGTCTTACCGATTTTGGACAGACCTCCATCTTACTTGGCAGTGCTGTTGCGTTTTCTATTGCCTGGAAATGCTCCCAGTGATAGTCCTCTGGTGTGCAAAATTGGGGGGATTAGTCCTGTATCACTGTGCTGTGAAGGTGGGCACAGGGATTGTCTTCCTCCGAGTTACCCTGGATGCATTCATAACCTCTCGGTGTAAGTGGCAAAATGCATGGGACGATCACCTTCTTCACGAGATATTCTTGTCTTAAAGTGACTGTGAGTTTCTAACATGACACAGATGTGCTACGATTTGTTCAAGCTGCTATCGTTCTCAACGCTAGCTGCTCAGGTACCTCCATATGCTATTTACATGAAGATGATGATATAGACTGGAGTTTTCAAGAATTTCCAACATGTAGTAGGCCTACGAGCGATGAATCTTGGGAAAGTGATACAAAATGACTTTCGAGTTGACGTGAGGTCACAAGATTGGGTTCACCATTGCGAGGGCGGGTAGGGTTTACACCAAGGTAGGGTAAGGTAAGGTAGGGACGAATCTCGCACCCAGTGTGTGACGACCACAGACTGGTGCATTTCCGAGCTGCAGGGCTATCCACAGCGCTGCATTAGACATATCCAACGCAGCTTTCGCCTCGAGCTCAGGTACATCAAGAGCAGGTTTTAATAATTATCCAAGGCGATTGATTAAGTTATCATACGTGGAAGATCAGAAGGCGCTGTAAGCGTAGTTCGCTTTATACAAAGACGAATGATTCTTCTCTTAGATTTTTTTTTCTTAAAAAAAAAATGCCTGAATCCATGCGGCCGCATCAGTTGATTAAGTTTGAACTTGAAGTTGAGTTAATTAAGGGCGAACCTTTGGGGTTTGACTGAGCCGATGGTTAAGTTGATTACCGAAGTTGCGTTGAGTGCACAAGTTGCACCTTTTGTGGGGCCAAAAAGTATCCCACCCGGGCCTTCAGCTCGTGTCATTGTACCCAACCAGTGACATTTTGTATGCCACTGGCTGACGTTGAGAGATTCGATCGCTTTGAAAATGCTCAACCATTTCAACGATTCATGGTGCAGGCAGATGCATTCACTGCCAACAAACAGGGCGCAGGCGGATGGCTCGTATAATCCTTCTCCGTGGAACGACAACATTGGAATGAAAATGGCAGGCAAATGTGACATCTGCTCACTTTTCGTCAGGAGATAGCTCGGTTGCCGAGCAAAAATCGCTCGGCCGAGCAGAGCTCGCAGCTGTCTGCTCTGTTAGGTTAGGTTGTCAACGAGGAAGCAGACGGCCATTGACAGGCGTGTAATCAGATTGATTGATTGATAAGATGCATGTAAGGTACTTCGACGTGATAAGATTGGACGAGCATGGTTCATGGGTACCGCATACGCGATCCCCACGCTGTAACCCTCCGGGTCTTCGGATACTCCACGTCTGCATCAAGAAGAAGCCTGCGCCGCCGTATTGGCATACATTTGAAAAAGCCTTGGTAGCCCTTAGCTTGCGCCTCAGCCTTTTAACCGAAGTAACCTTGGTGACTTCGTGACATACGCTTTCCAGCTCTCTTACGAAATAAGCTTACTTACTACCTCGTTCACAATCTGGCAAGGTGGTCCATTGAATGGAGGGGAAGTCGGATCTGGACATGTACGCGTACATCTCCATACTTGGTGACCAAGGATGTACGATGTACCGTCTCTCAAGTGAGAGGCACCCATAGCAAATGCAGGCAAGGAAGCGGCACAGAAACCTGATACAGGTGTTCACTAAAACAATCTAACGATATACTACTGGTGTTGCATGTAGCCTCCAATCTATCCTCTTGAGTACATGTACCTAGTGGGAAACAGATCCCACAGACTGCCCATGGCGAGCTGGAAAGTTGGGCTTCCCGCAGGGATCCTCCAACTGCAAGCCCACCTTCCGCATGGCCCGGATCCCGCCGTTCATACTGTCTGCAGCGTATCCTTTCGCGCGGAGAACACTGGTGGCAACGCGGGCGGAGTCCCCATCATAGCAAATGATGAGCGAAAGCTTGCCCCGAAGCTGAGAGCAGATGTCTTCGTTCTCAGAGCTAAGCTTGGCCTCAAGCTCTCGCCAAAGCGATGCCAACACTTTTGGATCTGTGAAGGGGCTCGGAGTGCCTGACTGAATAAGAGGGAAGTTTACAGATCCGGGGAGACTGAACTGGTCGAAGTCCTCGGGTTGGCGCAAGTCAACCACGATAGTGTCTGGCGACGGAGCTATGATTCTTTCCCAGCCTTGCCGCTCATCAGAACGTCTCTTGGACAAGAAGAAAAGGAGATCTCTGGTGAGAACCTTGTCCAGACGGTAAAAGTCGTTTAGGGCCATTAGTGGATCCTTTTCCCAGGCCGAGTCATAGCGGTACAAGTCAACATCACTCAATTCCTAGGCGTTGCTGGATTAGCAGGATGTAGCATACCGCGGGTATGATGAAGAACATATGCATACCGAGTTTCTGATCGGAGGGAACTGCTCAGCTTCCAGCTTGGCAAAATACTCATCCATGTATTGGTACGGGAGGTCGCAACACAAAGTGACGCAGTGAATCTGGCCGTCTTCCCCTGCAAGCTCACTCAAGGTCCCTTCCTTCCTTCTTTTCTCAATGAACTGATAAAGTCCTTGGAGATTAAATCCGGAGGAGGGGCCGCAAACAATGCCGTTCCGGCAAAGTTCCAACGAAAGCGAGTATGAGGGGTGAGATGCAACCTCCTCGATATGATCCACAGCTGACTTCCAGGGAAAGTTGACCGGAGCTAGGAGAGCCAGAGACCGTGGTCCTGGAACTCTGTCGCCTGCGGCAGTGCACACGCTGTGAATGCTGTTAGAAGGCACTATGAAGCGGGCGCATTGGATTCCTTACCCCAAACGGAACACAGATGGGTTCTTCTCCTTGAAGAAGCTCCCTAAGCCTGACATTGTGCCTGGATACCATAGTTTTAGTCTTGTGACGTTGAAGGCATCTCAAAGCTTTTGTAAATTGGGTGTACCAGAAGTTCCCATTCCTGCGCAAATGAGGCTTATTTCTGGGAGTTGTTCCAGAATCTGCGGACCTGTCCATCGCATGTGAGATTGCCAGTTCTAGAAGGCTTGATTAGCAACTGTAAAAAATCCGTGACTTTAGGCAGAAATCTCACCAGATCGTTGTTATACTGGTCCGGGTTGAGCACGGATTCAGATTCCTGGGCCCAGCGGTACGCAGCTCGAATGCCGCCACGCTCGTCGTTCGGTTCGGGTTGCGACGGACCGCCGAATAAAGTACTGTGACAGAGCCATATTGAGCATCATCATGGTGCACAGAAAAGGATGTCACTTAGCCAAATCAGCTCAACTTACATGTTAAGACCAAAGAATTGCATCAATTTCAACTTCGCTGCTGTCGTCTTATTGCTTAGGAAAGCGTGAACATCTCCCAAGTCGTAAAGAACGCGAGACATCAAAGCCATGGAAATGACTGTTGACCCAGAGCTGTACTCAACTACCGTCTTGGTCTTATCGGGCGCAATTCCATGCTCCAGGAGATTGAGAGCTTCGTCGAATCATAGATCAGCACCTCTGATTTTGTCTTTTGTAAGAAGGTCTTCTCGACTTGATTACCTGGCATAGATTTGACATTGTTTGCTGGGTGCATAGTCATCATTTTGGCGTAGATGCGGACGCCATCTTTTCGGTAAGGATTGAGGGAGTTGGGAAGCTCCACAAGAGGCAGTGGTGGTGCCCTGTCAGGATTGAAGTAGTCCTTAACAGAGTCAGGGCCCTTATAAACGTTGAGATTGTTTCGTGGCTGCATCTCGAGATTGTTGTTGCAAAAAGAAGTAACTAATGCGTGAGAAGTTTCTGTTAGGAAATGTGTAGCTGGGGAAACGTTCAAGTGTAGGAATGATAGCCGATGAACTTGGTGCTCCAGTCGGAATGATGTTATATTTCAGGGCAGACTGTTCTATGTACTCAACTAAAGCAGCGAGCCTTGATATTCTCGCATATTCATGGCTGGACCAAACACCCAAATACACCAATGAACGATCTATCTGAACCATTCGACCGCTTCCGAGCCTGGCGATATTACATCACGTCTACACTCTACCCTCTCCATCGGACGCGGCAGGGGGCCTAAGAACTCACGAGTGATTTTCGCCGTCAGAAATCGATCACACCAAACAAATGGCTCACTGGGTCAGTCATGACTCAACTGACAGGAAGTCAGCTTAGCTATGAGAGGTTCATGTTGAAGCTTCCCATACTTACACGATGATATTGTCAACGAAGGGATCGCGAAATGCATACCCCGGTCGCGAATTGACGCCCCACATTCCCCTATAACCTATAGACGTTGTGACGGCCAGGTCCGATAACACCGAAGGGATCCTCTTTTGTCCGAGTGCGACCTGACATTGCTTGTTCTGCGTGATGATCTGCATCATGTAACCTTGAAGGCCCGTCCCATGGAACTATTAAAGTCTTGGGGGTGTGGATCTATAAAGTAAAGACCTGGCATCGAGCGACATACCTGTCAGTGAAGACCACATCGCAGTAGGCATCCAGACTGTGACGGCGGATGGCGTGTGGAGCAAGCACAATCTTTTAAACTGTTAATGGCAACAAGACCGATGAACAGCGGTAAAGATCTCTACCAAACTCAAAAAAGGAAAACCCGGCAATTCCAGCGCAACGTCATTACCAAACACTTTCCTGCTCCACTGACCCTGGCCACTGAATTCGCAATGCTGCGCGTACGGCTGCGGAGTGCTTTACTGCCAAGCAACAAAACGATCTGCCAAGAGGTTCAGAATGTCCTGCCACGTCATTTGAAGCTTTCGAAAGAGTTTGACGTTGGTCTCCATGAAATCTCCGGGCTATAATTTGCTCCAAGATATCGCTACAGACACAAGTAGCCAGATAGTCAATGGATGAATAGATACGAATTTTTGAAGCATCTTTCGCCCAGATCCGCGCATCTTACCAGCTATCTTTTCTAACAATGTTTAAGAGCACCAACTCAGCGAACCGCACCACTCAGGAGGCTGCGGACATCAATGCCAGCAACCCCGAAAGCTCCCATACGCCAGATACGGCGCTGGAATCGCCGACGCCCACAGACAAGAGAGCAGAAAAACACATATTCAATGAACAGACAAATTATGTGTCCAAAGTTAAGGTCATCACGGTAAGTCACCCCGCCTCAAAGGACGTTCAGATTGCAATCTTGATTTTACCCCCCGATGTGATGAAGTGACACACACTCACAAGGACAGATTTTTCTAGCATGCGCCAGCGTGGATCTCGTAGCACTGATGGACCAGACCACCTTGGCAGCTAGCCTGTCTATTGTTGGCAATTACCTCCATGCAGGACAACAGCTATCCTGGCTCGCTAATGGCTATTTCATGTACGTTTTGTTTCGGCTGATGACGACTCTTCCTGATCGATACGTCTGCATAGCACATCCACAGTCGGGCAACTCTTGTACGGCCGTCTGTCGGACATATGGTCGCGTAAGGTCATTCTAATGGTCGGGCTGGCCATCTTTGGCCTTGGGTCTCTTGCATCCTCCCTGGCCCAGACAGCTACACAGCTGATTGTTTTCCGCTGTTTTACGGGTCTTGGCGGTGGCGGACTCATGACAGTTGCACAGATGATCGTTAGCGATGTAGTGCCTCTTCGTGAGAGGGGGAAATATCAGGGTATTTTGGTAAGTTTCTCCAGCCGGTCACTTTTACAACTCCACTCTAGACTCTATTCCCTGCCAGAGTATCAGATTTGATCAGATATTCTTTTCTCGCCGGGTAGATGAATACTCACGCCCCCATCCCCTGCAACAGCCCCTGTTCTGCTAACATCTTGGCTTCTCCAGGGCGCCGTCACTGCATTGGCCAACGGAATAGGCCCGGTCATCGGCGGCACTTTATCCTCCAAGGGGGGCGACTCATGGCGCTGGATCTTCCGTCTGAATCTGCCCCTAACGGCGCTATCTGCGGGATGCGCACTATTCTTCATGCCCCTCAGAAAGGTCGAAGGGGACTGGAAAGTGTTAGTTGTCTTCTTATTAACCCACCCCGCACAAGCTGACCAAATGCATCTCAACTTAGAAAGACACGAGCCATTGACTTCGTAGGCATCTTTCTTGCATTGGCTGGCACCACGAGCTTGATGCTTGGTTTAACCTGGGGCGGTGGCGAGTACCCCTGGGCCTCTGCAGCCGTCCTCACTACCCTAATCGTTGGCGCCTTCATCTGCGTCATCTTTGTTTTGTGGCAGTGGAAGGGACCAAAATACCCGCTCGTGCCTCGTAAGATCCCACGTCTCCCTTGCTTACGCTTATAGAACTAACCTATATCCTTCGTACTTACATAGTGGACATCTTCCGCGCCCGAATGACCATTGGTGCATGCATTACAATGGCCATAAACGGCTGGAACTTTGTCGTTCAGGTCTACTACATTCCCACTTTCTATCAGCTCGTCTACAACTATGGGGCCACTAGGTCTGGTGTGATGCTTCTTCCCATCACCCTGGTTCAGACCGCGAGTAGTACTCTCTCTGGACTCATCGTCCACTGGGTGGGACGTTACCGCGAGTGCATCTTGTTCGGCTGGCTCTGCTGGTCGGTCGGTCTGGGTCTCATGTCCACTCTCAACGAAACTTCCGGCCTAGGAAAGCAGATCGGCTATTCCCTGCTCATTGGCTTGGGTGTGGGAAATACTCTTCAGCCGTAAGCATCTAGATTTCGCCCGATGACCGTGTTGTTTACTGATGCGGACGTCGACAGTGCCCTGGTAGCCATCCAAGCGGGCGTCCCAAGAAAGGACATGGCCGTTGTCACATCCTTCCGCAAGTTTGTCATCTCTTGGCTCTGGACTGAAAATGTGACAGTGCGACTTACGCTAGTGACACAGCTTTGTTAGGAACTTGGGGGCTACATTCGGACTTGCCATTTGCGGCACAATTTTGTAAGTCAGCTTCCCAGAGGCATTCACGACTCGCTCTATCGAGCGATGTACTAACATTCCCAAGAAATAACATTGTCAAGAACTCTGTCAATGGCCTGGATCTAAGTGCAGAACGACGAGACTCCCTTCTCAGCAACCCACAGCAATACTTGTCGTCGCTTTCCGACGAAGAAGCGCAACGTATTCGCGACGTTCTCGCGCCTGCGTATCAACGATCGTTCAAGGTCATTTTTGAGCTTGGTTCTGGCTTGGCAGCAGCAGGTTTCTTCGTCGCATGGGTCTTGATGCCACACATTGATTTGGCCCGCCCTGACGACCACAAATTAAAAGAGGAGGGCCATCAAGCGCAACTCAAAGGGAACGCAGAAAAGTCCCCATGATTATTGGTGAGGCTGGCGAAGAGTGTGCTACGTCTTCAGCCAGGGCATCTCTAGGGCAATCCGAAAGAAAGCCTCCAGCGATAGGAGATTGGTAAAAACTTGCGGGGCAGGCCGGAGTCGGCTCAGTTTCTTTTACTCGACAGGGCAAGATCAGCGCTTTCTGGAAGCTGACTGGCTTGATTTTTGGAATTACATTGACTGAAAGCGCTTGGTCGGATTGTTACGAAGCTCACTAGTAGCACTCGATCGAGCTTGACTTGGAAATCAAATAATTCTACCAAAGTGCTTTGCGTCTACATGGTTTGATAAGGGTTGACTGGAGCAGAATCCTAGCGTTCAGTGACACCATGGCTGAACATGAGGCCATATCCCACCGTCTGCTACCTACATCATGTAACAGTAAACCCAATGCTGATGCGGCAACGCCTGTCCTTGATTGGTGACCGCAAAAAGACCCAGAAATCTTCACTGTGCCCAAAGCTGCTGACACAAGATCCTTGTTGATGTATGATTAGATTGATAAGCATTCTAGCCGCCATGTACTCCATCAGACTAATGCACTCCGCGGACCACAAACCTAAATCTTCCCGGGGTGCCAAGGTCATCTAAATACACGCCATATGGTATCTCCGAAGTGGCCCGACTGTCCGAGGCGGCGAGGTGTTTCTACAATGCAACCCGAATCCGAGCATTTCCCTTACGTGAAGTATGGGAACATGCAATGCAACATAGCCCCAGCCGTTGGAACGCCGGAGTGGGCCAACGCAAGTACCTAGTCTGTAAGTATACATCCGTACTCTAATTTCCAGGATCCCGAAAGTAGGCAAGATCGTGACATCAAGGTTCGTCTCCAACTATCGCCTCCTTGGACTCGACAACTACCTGACTGCATGCAACAATTTTAATCACTCAGTCACAGTGAATTTCCGACTGGGACTCGGAGGTAACTTAGAATTCGGGTTGCAGCTATACAGGCAAAACTTTTCAATCATTGTCACCAGTCCTGAGTACGTGTCAACATGCGTGATGAGAGGTTTGTAAATGGATTCAGTCCCACATCACAGTGATAGGAATATAAGCCATCGAGTTCCGAATCCGGATCTCAAGATTCATCATTGTCGCCCTTCCAAGTCGCTAGGCTCCCCAGAGTGACAGATATTGTTTATATGCAAACATCACAATTCTCTATCTATCAGCTCAGCCATTCCCCAAGATGATCCTTCATACAAGCTCAGTCGTGCTGGCTGCGCTGTATGCCGGCTCAAGCCTTGCAGCCGCCGACTCCCAAAGACCACTGCTAAAGGACTTTGACGCTCTGGGCGCTTGGTTTGAGGAAGTAGCCGCTATCAATGCCACTTCTGGCCTTCAAGATGCCGAGCAAGCCAAGAACACCACCGTCGCCATCATCGGAGCGGGTATCACGGGCCTAGCCACGGCCCTTATGCTCGATAGTGTTGGTGTGCACAACTGGGAGATACTCGAGGCTAGTCACCAGATCGGTGGACGCTTGCGGACTATATACGTCGGAAACACCCAAGAATGGGCAGAAATGGGCCCTATGCGTCTTCCATACAAGATCAAGTACAAGAGTGACAATGCGACCCTCGAGTACTCTGATCATGCCATGACGTTCCAGCTCGCAGATTGGCTCAATGAGATGAACGAGGACAGTCACACCGACCTGAACATCAGCTTTATCCCCTGGATCCAACACTCGCCTAATGAGTTGCTAGCGTTGGGCACTGGCAGACATCCCGATGGCAGCATCCCTACTCGTGCCGATATTGCCGCAAATTCGAGCCTTGGCAAGCCAGCACCAATGAATACACAGGAGTACAAGGACGTCAAAGCGAAGATGAGCGAGATTCTTCTTAACGAAGAAACACTCAGAGAGATCCAAAGAGACGTATGGAGAGTACACGGGCGCGCTATGAAGAGAGGACTCGACGATGTTAGTCAGCAAAGCATGATGCGCAATGTTTGGAACGCGAGCGCCGAGGTAGCGGACGCCATTCACGGTGCTACTGATTACGACGTCTTCTGGGACGAGATGCATCACAACTCGAACTTGGCACAGGATGGCAGCAAGGGCACCTTGGGCGAGACAGAGTGGCGATGTGTCGATGGCGGCTTTAGCCGCTTCTCTGATGCTTTCCTACCACACGTCCAAGACCGCCTCGTCCTAAACCGTCAGGTCCGGGCGATTGAGGCTGTCAAAGATGGTCAGAACATGGTCACAGGCACAAAGGTCTCTTGGGTCGACGTTGATTCCAACAGAACCCAGACAAAGCCAGGCCCTCAACAGAGCAAAACTTACGACTATACAATGCTCGCAGTGCCTTTCACCATGACGCGAATGATGCGCCTTCCGTCCTTCTCGCCCACGCTGTCGCGGGCGATGGCTGAGCGTGGCCTCCGCTTTAAAGACGCCTGCAAAGTTGGATTGCTCTTTAGCGAACGTTTCTGGGAGAAAGGTGACCGTCCCATATTTGGTGGTTACTCAACGCCTCCTGACGCAGCTGTTGGAGCTCTCTACTACCCAGTGTACGGACATAACGAGTCGGGGCGCCCAGGTCTCATTCTGCACTATCGTGGAGGCGATTGGAGCAGCCGTTTCGCCAGTCTCAGCGAGGAACAACACGTCAGTATGGTCCTAGACGCTATTGCTTCTTTACATGGCGAGCAAGTTCGAGAGCTATACACGGGCGTCTATGAGCGTTTGTGCTGGCTGGACGAGCCATTCATCGCCACTGCTTGGACACGCCCGGATGTGGCTCAGCATGCGTTGTATATCCCGGCATACCATCAGACTGAGTCGAATGTTATTGTACTCGGTGAGCATACGGCTCCCACACATGCGTGGATCAGCTCCTCTCTTTACTCTGCCGTTCGTGGTGCCGTTCAACTATTGCTTGAGATTGGTTTAGTCGATGAAGCTAAGCAGCTGAACCAACGGTGGATGGGACGATGGATTGATATGGAGTAGAATATAGTCGCCTGAATGTAGGAAGATTTAAGGGTTTGTGGATAAAAGTTATTTGTTGAAGGAATGTATATGAGAGAAGAGCCGGTGGCGATAACTTGAGATACCTAGTCCAGATAGCAGTGTAAGACCCGTCAAATCTTGCCGACGTAATGAGATTTCACTCAAAAACCATTGCAACAAGCGACGCTTTGAAAACCATCTATGTGAACCGCTTTCTCGTCCTCAAGTCTTCAATCTACCAAGCCATTGTCTTGCTGGAGCAAATCTGGATCGCAATTGGAAATAAGATAGCATATGTGCAATTCACCTACATAAGAATTGGGCCACCGCCAAGACTACCACCAACCTCCGGCACTTTCAATATGCCTTCGCTCACCAGATCGATTGCTAGCCTACTCAAAAGTCCATCACAGCCCCTCGCCGCAAGTATGCCTACCGCAACCGGCAGCTTCTCCCTATGACCGGTGAGGGTGCTGAAGCTGGACACCTCACCCACTGGGTATATCAAGTCAGGGCATCCGGAAAAGACAGACATTCGGGCCGCTGAGAAGCCAGCGAATGGCGCTGGTGGCGCTATGTCGTATCGGTTCCTCGGAGACTGCGTCCCAGTCTTGCCAGCATATAGAATGAGCCCGGATGAGCATTGCAGGGTGTCGTTGACCGGAGGTAGGATATGATCATTGAACCAGTTCATGAACATTGTCTTGTTCTGCATGGCCTCATCCCAGGAGTAGTTGGCAGCCCAAGCCCATCGTGCCAGTGGGGATGGGTTTACAAACGGCTGACGACCATCAAATTGTTTGGCATAATCTGCAAAGAATGGCTGGACCACCGCATCGTCTTGACCCTTCCCAGTCAGAATTGGGTAAGTGATGTTGAAAGTCTCGGTGAAGTTGAGTTTGGCGTTAGGGTTCGTTTCGCGCGCGTCCCAGCGCTGAGCCACGTTCAAAGCGCTCACGTTCCCACCCACAAACTTAGCCAATGCGGTCGCGAAGTTGTTTAAAAGTAAACCTGCCTCAGTGCTGGAGTTGGGATACGACACCGTCATGATCTTGGTCGGATACTTCGGCTTCAATTCCGCCAGAGAAGTGTAGTTGGAGCCATATGTGACAGCCTGAAGTTTATCCCACAGCTTTGGGTCTCGGGCAAGGAAGCCAACAGTATCCAGAGGCTCAGATAGCGGCATGATGTGATCGGCACTCACAGCTCCGTGCGATGCTCTATTGCCAAAGACGCCATTGACGCCTGCAGGGCTACGGATGCTGCCCCCTGTATCAGTTCCGACGGCAGCGTCGAGCCAACCATAAGAAGCAACAGAAGCACCTGCGCCCGAGCTCGAAGAGGATGGGTCCTGATAGCCATCTCCCCTCGGATTGAAAGGACTATGGTAGTCAACCCAGTCCACAGTAGCAACTTCGCTCGTTGCAAACTGGGACAACTTCTGCGTACCTACGACGATGGCGCCGGCTTCAATTAGTCTCGAGATGGCTGTTCCCGTGACGTTATTGGCCGGGTATAAATGATACCATGCGCGGTTCCCATTTGACTTTTTAACTCCGGCCAGCGAGAAGATGTCTTTAACGGCAATGCGGACACCAGCCAGTGGCTTGATATTTGAAGGCTCGTAGTATAATCGTGAAGGCACGCCAATGGTGAACGTAGCTGAACCGGGAATCTTTGCTGACAAGACTTGAAAAGTGCCATCATTGTTGTCTAGCAAGGCTTCGGTGAAGGCACCGGCAGTATCGTCGTAAAGACGGTACGCTTGATGTAGATCTCCGGTGCCTTTGCGCAGAAAGTAAGGGCCCTTCGGCACGTTAGACCTCGTTGTAAAGCTGACCACTGTCGAAAGTATCTCATTGGTAGTTTGAATGTCTTGAGCTATTGATGTGTCCGAGTTGTTTGTCTGATTGAGGAGCAGCCGCATGAATCCGGATTGAAATACGTCGTCAGTCTCCTTCCAAGCGGTGAAAATTTGGGACACACTATCTCCCCGGCTCGCAGCTGGCAGGACCGCGACCGGAACAAAATCCAGGATATCCTCGACGTCTTTAGGGACACCAGATTGGAGCGAGAGAGTTGCAGCGATGTGGGGGCTGATGAAGTATGGGATTCCGTTCAAAAGAAGAGTTAAGCCAGTGGATGTGATCTGCGATATGGCTAATGGCAATGCCATCAAAATCCATACTCGGATCATTTGCATTTTCATTGTCACAACCAACAGATGTAGAAAGTTGATTAGGTACACAACTAAGCTCAGAAAGTGATATCGCCCACAGAGAGGATGATTATTTAACGAAAGCCAAGGCCACGCTCAATCACCAAACATACAAGGTACGCCCGAGGACGGCAATTTGGCTAATCTCATGCCTCGAGTACTTGCCGTAGGTGATCGCCCGAGAACCGGGCCTGCGCCCCCCCTCCCCTCTTCTGCCAAGTTATCATAGACGAAGTAGCTCGGTGCATTCTATTTTTTCGAGGCCCCATAATGAGTCCACATGGAGTCAACTTCACCTTGAGAGCTGCAGAAACGCACAGGGATCCGCCAAGAGTTGGTGCAAAAGTGGTACCTTGCTCTCGTCTCTCAGCGCTGCAGAGAACTACATGTATTCTCCACGCAGGATATCACCATGGGACGTATCACCGGGGCTTTCTCCGATGCGTTCGTACCCGGATGGCGTAGTCAGGATCTCATTGCACACCGTACTAAAGCCGAGCTTACACGGAGTGCTAGGATCTCGCAGGCACAACTCACTCTTTACCGTAGCTATCACTGCTAGCTCCTGCAAGGGCATCACCCCTGCTACCTCATTGTAAAAGTGCGTGATTATTCCAGATACGCTGAAGGATTGAAGGAAGTGGCGTATGTCGCGCGGTACGCGGCGAATGATTTTCCCCGGTCTATGGCATGTAATGTTGTCTTTTTTACTTTTGTAGATTCAGGTGGGGTAAGCGACACGGACTCATACTCCACAAAAGTCTTGTCCGTGCATGTTGACACTATCACGTCACATCTTACACCTCACGAACTCCCCCGCACACTCAATGGCGTACATTCAAACTATCATTTATATCGTTGGTCTCTTGACGCTCAGTCTTGCCGGTCTTAAAGCAGTGAACTGGATTTCCATCTACACCCTTCCTTCGAGACTCCGCATCTATGCCCACATCTCTCCGAACGGCGATGCGCCCTGGGCCCTTGTGACGGGTGCTTCGGACGGCATTGGCCGCGCTTTTGCATCTGAATTGGCGACACAAGGGTTCAATGTCGTACTTCATGGACGAAACCATGCTAAACTTACGGTCGTTGCGTCTGACTTCCGAAAAAGATACCCCGCAAGGTCTTTCCGCATACTGGTGGCAGACGCGAGTGCCGTGCCAGGTGTAAACTACAATGGGGTTGAGCGGCCACTTCAACCCGTCGATTCATCACAGGCTCCCCCGGATTTTGCATCAATACAAGCGGAACTTCGTGATTTACATCTTACTGTAGTCATCAACAATGCGGGAGGTGGTCCCACCAACCCGGTCTTCTCGCCTCTCGTCGACTGCTCAACGGACAGGATCGCCAGCAACGTCAGCCTGAATGCGCTCTTCCCACTTCATCTTACAAGAGTGCTTCTCCCGGTTCTCCGCCAGAACGCGCCGGCCCTGGTGATGAACATTAGCTCCATGGCAGACGAGGGATTCCCTCTACTAGCGTCTTACAGCGCTAGCAAGCAGTTCCTCATGACTATGACACGTGCCGTGGGTCTTGAGCTGAAACTTGACGATGATAGTAGCAATGTGGAGTTGCTAGGTGTCCGGATAGGTCGAGTTACGAATGTTTCGCACTTGAAGGAGGCTCCGTCGCTATTTACGCCCGATTCTCAGACTATGGCCCGAGCCGCCCTGGCACGAACCGGTCGTGGGCATGGGATAGTTGTTGGATATTGGGGCCATGCGCTGCAGCAAGCCAGCTCTAGCTTCTTACCGAGGTGGGCTAAAGACCAAGTCATGATGGCTATAATGCGTGAGCAAAGAGCTGGAGAGTTGAGAAAACAGTGAAATAAGACATGTATTTCTCATGCAGGCGGCGCTTATGGAAGAGCACCTGTCAATCTGTCTCTGTATGGCATGCAATCATAATGAAGGGGTGAACTTAACAAGTACTTTGGCAGAAAGTCTTTTGTTATCAACGTTGACGACATATTAACCCAGTCTGCCCGCTACATCAATCATGTATCTCAAATCTCCTGCTGCAGAGCTCCCAATGACCAGAATACCTATTCCGTACTCAGAATCGCCGCTGGCGGTGATTTTTCCTACCGGGAAATGCATCAATATGTGGCCAATGAAGCGCCTATCAGAGAATTGATCACTCACAGAAAACACCTCAAGAAAGTCGATACGAGGCTCGGTTAAGCGCTGAGTTGAGGAGCCCATGATGATGTGAACAGCAAACGGCGAGTCGAAGCTCTTCCCGTTCACCAACTCCATATGGACCGATCCAAGCAAGACCAGTTCAGTCTTACTGCTCGTGCCCATGCGTTGGGTTGCCGCAAACCCTTTCGAGATACTGTGCCTCCTTGACGTCACTGAAGACCATGCACCCTCTCTGCATTTTGATATTTCTGTCGAGCATAGCACGCATAGGGCTTTGGTTAGCATAGAAAAAGACGCCCTTCAATTAATTAGATCACCGCGGGGGAAGAACTATCTTACCTGCAGTTCCATTAAATGTCCCGCTAGGACTGATGAAGGTTGCTTGATTCGAGAATACCTCGGTGGCTAGTCGATCTCCTGCATCCTCAACTTTGGAATCCGCGAGCTCATAGAAAGTAGCGATGAGGCTTTTGGCCTGGGAAGTGATAGAATCAGACAACCAGTCGGTGGCGTTCGTGACGTAGCTCATTTTTTGTCAGGATTTGTTCGAAAAGTGATTGATATCATGACAGAGTAGTATGACAATGTGGCCAAGTAAATCTCGAAGAGAGAAGTTGTGGTGTAACAAGCTTCGAAGTAAGTAAATTCTTATTCGTGGATATAGCATGGCGAGCTGGAGATAAGAGAGAAATACTGTCAGCGTCAGATCACACACCTGTGGCTCGACGGTACGTCGCGTTTTAGGAAAACGCGAAGACGCATTTGCCCATTCGCTTTTCGTCGCCTTTTCGTCTCTTCGGGATCGGGCTCGGGGTAGAGTTCTGAAGGATACCATCAAAGGATTGAGACGTTAGTCTCGACCAAGGTAGTCGGTCAGTTGGTGCTATTGCCTACATTTCCTTAAAGTGCCTTAAAAACGAGGGGAAACAAATGTCGTCAACTTTCCTGCTTCAATTTTTCACTTACATGAACTTTTGCTCAACACAATTATCTACCGTAATAGCTGCACGCTCCAAAGCACGATCGTCATCAACCTACAAAGTACTCCAAAGCTGAACTTAGAAGAAGACTGGTCAGAATTGGAAACAAAGCATGTCAGAAATTTGCAAGGTTATCGACTACGATGCTCCAGTTGGCAAGGTCAAGAGTCCATCGGGCCTCGCCCACGTTGTACTACGAACCGGCAACCTCCCCCGCATGGTTGACTTTTACACCACGTTCCTCGGGGGCAGCGTCACCTACGGCAATGAGATGATATCATTCATCACCTACGACAACGAGCACCACCGTATCGCTTTGATCGGAGTTCCAGGAACGGCGATCAAAAACCCGGCGAGCTGCGGCCTTGAGCACATCGCCTTCTCTTTTGATACTCTAGAGGCTCTGCTGCTCGCCTACCGCCACCGTAAGATTCGGGGCATCGAACCCGTCTGGTGTGTCAATCACGGCCCTACGACTAGCATCTACTACAAGGACCCGGATGGCAACATGCTGGAAACGCAGGTCGATACCTTTGATACGGTCGACGAGGCCACTGCGTTCATGATGAGCGACGCCTTTACCGAGAACCCGATTGGTGTAGACTTTGATGCCGACGAGATGATTGGGGCCCTGCGCGCTGGAGGGGACGAAAAAGTGTTGAAGAAGCGGCGCGAGATTGGCCCGCGCGGATTGCCGGACTTTTCGAGCATGTGATATTATTTTGACTTAGCCGATGAGACTGTTCGTACTTGTTGTGTAGTAGTAGTCACAATTGTCACAAGGAGTTTAGCTTGGGGTTACTGCAAGACTGAGAGTACAACATCCCGGGCTCGACTTCGGCCTTGGCTGTGAGGCTATTGGACTGTCGGGTCCAGAACTCCATGTTATTACATACCCCTGATCCGGGTTCGGCCCTGGTTTCCGAGCCCGAGTAAGTCGAAGTGTCGCATTTTGGGTTCATTTGACAAAGCTTCTGTTGGATTCTGGGTAGTCGGTAGAAAAGGTGGAATTAGAAAGCGGTGAAGGTACTTAGAAACGAACTACTTATTTATACCTACCTCGTTTGGAATCGTGGGCTTTACCTAATTCCTACTTTTTTTATGTATAATCTATACGTAGTCATATCATTAATTGACTTCGTACTAACTGTATAGCTGCCCCTGCTGACGTGTATACTAACAGTTTCTATTTGATCAATCCACGAGAAAAACGTTTTCGTAGTGGCTTGATTGGGGCAATCATGGCCTCTATTAACTAAAGTTCCTAAGAGCGTTTTCTGATGGTGCGTGCAATGAACCAGGTAATTAATGCTAGGAAGAGGCATCACTTAAGGCGTTATTATTGCTATCAGCCATCAAAAATCCCATTCAACTTACGACCAACTACTTCATTCATATGGGATCTTTCGCCTGTGAAATAGGAGAGTTAACCAGCGACGTCTCATTTCAGTGATACGCATGCCCAGTAAAATAATTTTCCTCACCTCATTCTGTAGAAAAACAAGCCTCATGCCTTCAAATTTTTGCCATCTGTAATTATACATTCAAGAATATTGACTGATTGCTCGAACAGAACAAGAATCTGGGTCATGGAACCGTTGGTGATCCCAAGAGGTAGACTACCACTGGACTTGGATTGAGTCTTCCATGTTGGGTACCGTAAAACCAGCGAGGTCGGAGTAAATTGTACGGCCATTCTGCGAAATTTCTATCTCTCGAACGTTCGGGACGCCAGACGCAGGATGGTCCTCTTCGCGAATGGCTTCCATTCGCGAAGATTCGGGCTGGGGAAGCAAACTAGTGCCCGTGATGTTGGATGCACTGACGTCTTGGCTAGCAGTGATTGGATTGCGTGCGTAGACACCCGTCACCTCTGCTGACCTACCCTGCATAGAGGCATCACCCTGCAGGGACATTTCCATAGATGTCATGAGATCATCATAGCTCGTTGTGCTCTGGTTATTCCGGCTATCGCCCTTGTTCTTGTAACTGTCGACAACTCTCCGGGCCTGTCGGACAAATTCTGTTGTCTTTGTAAAGGCAGCTTCGCCGGATGTGACATATTCGAGGCGACCAAAGAATCCAACGACTGTTTCCATGAGGGCTATGTCGCTCTGGTTACGGCTATCATATGGGTTGGACACCACATGGACGAAGATTGTAGTCAAGGCTGTGAATGGATAATAGAAGACGAGCCTTCCAGCATGTGAGAGGTTAGAAATAGTGAATCATCTGTAAGAGAGTAGCGAAGCGAGTTATCTGTCGTAACTGCGAAAACAACCGAAGCTGTGTGGGGGTTTATGGATCGTCCAACAACCAGATTCCGGTAACGATATAGAAGAGTGTAAGACATACCATGCCGGAGTGAAGCTCTCGATGTCCAGGTGCTTCGTGAGCAAGACAATGGACCTTGCAGCCTCTATGTGCGATATATGAGATTTTCTATCGATAAGGCGTTCCGCATCACTTTTTCCTTGATTGAACATGGGTGATCCACGTCGAAGAATGGAGCACAACACGTAGTAGTAGGATGAATGTAGAACAAGGATTTGTACCCGTGATCCCCCCTGTCTCCCGAGGATTTTACCAAGTGGCCTACCAGGCCGGACCTTAATAGGAATAGATTTCAGCCAGCTCTCCAAATCCTGCAGCAAACGATTCAATGCTGGCACTAGCCGAGATATTGGCATGAAGAGAGCGCTCGCAGAATACAAGGACCGGGAAATGTCACCACCGATACGCGCAAGCTTTGTGAAGTGTCGGAAAAAGTCGACGTCTAACTCTCCTTCGCCTGTCTCTGTGACGTTGGTTGCTGAACCCGGACGGGCCAAGTCGATTCCTCGCGGGAAAGTACAACTAATTTCTTCGTCGCATATGACCGCAGGTCGACCACAGCGTAAGGCAATTGACTTGTCCAGACAGTAGACTGCCCAGAAGACACGATTGCGCTCTCTCTTCTCAACATCAGAGAGACTCCATTCGGGAGGCGGGGAGCAGTTGAGTCCAATGCTCTGGGCTAACCGTAAAGCGACCGAGGAGAGAGTATATTCGAGCCTCTGGGGACTGGACAGCCCTTGTGCGAAGACGGCCATCAAAGCCACTGCTTGCACAGCTAACAGGTCGGTGGCACCGTGAACGATCTGGGACTCGTAGGATAGAGCTGATCGGAAGTATCCCCATGCCTCAGAAACAGATGTTCGAAAAGCCTCGGAAGTCTCATCGGAGAGTGAGGCTCGAAGCCCCGAAGCTACCACTACGTTCAACAGTGCCAACCAAGACGGCTTTTGAACAACATCAGAACCATCTCCCATTTCAGCCAGTTGAGCGTCAAAGGTATCACGGTCCAGGATGGGGAAGACAACTTGAACCTCCGTGAAATAGGCATCGATATACTCAAGCAGCTGCGGCCGAGAGATGGCTAGAATCCGAGATGTTGATGGCGCGAGTGTCAAGTCTTGCGTGATGCACTTCGGCTGGCGAATATGAATGAGAATGGCGTTTCGTATGTCCTGAATTGTCTCACAAAGGAGATCCGAGTCGGGCACTCTTTCTCGAATCCAGTTCAGACCGAGGTCGGAAACGGTTGATATGCCGGAGGAGGGGCCGGTGTATTCGTCACCGTCGGTGGTTCGGCCCCACAAGGCCGGGCTGGCGTCTTTGAGGCTCTCCAAGTCCTCATCACCGTCAAGGATCTTATCGAGTAGACTTTCACCTTGGATAGAGGTGGAGTCGGCTGGAGTTTGGAGGATGACCTCGCTGTCGCGGGCCATCTGAGCAAAGAGGCTAGCCATGGAGTTGGAATCCATGGTCTGCCAGTCAGACGGAGCGGCAGGAGCGGCGATAGCGATGCTCCAGTCCAAACAATCTGATGTGGCGTCATTCTGCGCCGTTCCATCTGGCATACGGTGTGTTGAACCAGTGGTAGACTGGAGGCACGGCCCTTGTTCAACATGGCACGCAGCGGCTTCGGCATCGGGCTGTCTCGGCAAGGAACGCTGGCCCAGGTCAATGACACTCGGGCTTTGGTCATTCTGAGAGGTGGGAAGACGTCTGTTGTCGGCGTCGGCCTCCGTCCAGCGACGTACCCGTCGCTCGCCGGCGTACGAACAGTGACTGGCTCGTTGTCTGCAATTTTGGCAGACGGGCCGGACGCGGTCGCACTTGATCTTCTTCGTGCGGCATGCTTTGCAAGCCATGGCTCAAACATAAAGCGGAAATAAATAGCATAAGCCACGCGAAGATGGCTAGGTATGTGGAAGGGCGGTTGAGAAACGAAGAACAACATGAAGAATCTGTTGGTAACCGGTTCAAAGTGGAGCACCGGCAGGCCGGCAGAATCTCCACACGGCGCCAATGCTGCATCCTGCAACTTAAACGCGGGGTAACGGGAACGGAAAGATACATGTTTGGTACAATTTATTAGTAGCTCGAACCAAGCATTCTCAGCATATTGTGTGATTCCATTCAATATAACCTCGAGGAAGGCCCTCGTCAAAGTTTTCTAGTGTGGATCGATGTAGAAGTATACAAGTATCAGCAGACCCAAATCGTTGTATGTTTCCATGGCCGTCACTGAGAATACCTCACATGTATTTATTTAAAGTAGGTAAAATGGGGACAATGGGATTATGTCGAAATAACACTTGCATTGGGGTTCCCATTATCATCAGGACATTTTCCCTCGAAACTTTCCGCATCAGAAGTGGTTTTCTTGCTTGGATGTCAATACCCGACAGCACGAAGGCTATTCTCGATAGTACGTCGTCTGATGCTGAGTCAACCAGGCCGGTCACAGGGCATGTATTCTGCAACTTCGGCTTTTCAGGCCTATTGATGTTGCAGTATGAGAATAGGAAATGGGACATGGAAGCAGAGGGGGGGGGGGGGGGGGGACCTTATGACCTGAAAACCTTAACGCATACACACTTGAAATAATAATTTAGTACTTAGAAGCATGATTCTATTTGCCTTACTCCTAAATGACTCTGTCGGCGGCAGTGGGGTTGCGGCGCCAATAGCATTGTCTCTTAGGGCTAAGCATCTTAGTATCAAACATCTTGCACATTATTACATCTGCCTCGCGAAGGCAGAGAAAGTCAGATACATTAAAGGAAGATGGGATCGAAGATTACCATGGTTCATTTTGTACAAGAACATCATGATTACGATCTATATCCAAAAATCAGGCTCAAGTTCTCCCGCTACCTTGCTTGGATGATGCTCTTGACGATGTCTGATGCGCGATCCAAGGCAGCCTGAAATCTTTCCGCACCCTTCCTTGGACTGACAAAACAAACCTCCACACTTGAGATGAAGTTAGAAATGAGCTGCTTTTGAGGATAAGAAATGGAAGAATGTGATACTTACGAGTCATCGTTCACCGTGTAATTCATCCACACATTATCCGGGTCCTCCATCGTGTAACCAGGATCTTCAGCCAGCTTAGTCTCGATCATCGTCTGCATGATCAGTCGTGGACCGCTCCTCTTCCATACTGGATCAGAGAAGAGCTCTGGGACATCGTTGGGCTCCTGCTCCTCACTCATCATCTCAAGCACGTCCATGAGTCGGAAGTAGTTGCGGCCTTCACTGCCTTTAACAATTTGCGCATTGCACTCTCTTGCCGCCTGTAGCAGCTTGTTCCTTGCCTCAGCGCGCGGCACAGTGCTGTCCAACGCAGCATCGCAGAATTCGACGACTGATTTCAGAACCACCTGCACAATTTCCGGGCGGCCGAGGTGGAAATGCGCTGTCGAAACCGTTTCCCAGCTAGCAGGGAGATAGCCAAAGTACAGACGGCTTGCCAGCTGAATCGTCAGGTCGACTGTCGCTTTGATAGGTGCTGAATGTTCGAGGAAAATCGATTTTCCAAAAGAAGTGATGAGGTGTGGTGTGTATTGCTTCACACTCGTGACAGCTGAGTATTTCTCGCGGAGCGTCTCGATCTGGCCCTCGATCTCTGCAGTTGTGAAAAGAGGGATCTCCTCGAGGCTGGCGGTGTGAATGCCCTGGCTCCTTTGGTCCATATCGTCGTCATCGTGCCCAAGAGTGTCGATCGCATTCTGCAGGCGCTTAGAGAGTTGCGAGATTGTCATAAAGTCAATCATTGAATGCTCAAATATGCTTCCAGAGCGACCATTGGCAGTGACCAAGATCTGGAAGCTCTTGTCGTGCCAACGGTTGAAGGAGTCTCCGAGATATCCATAGCGGATGCGCTCCTCACGCGTCACTGGGGTGCTGTCATCCAGGCATAGGACAAAGACGGACTTCTCTATCGTGTCGAAATATGACGTATTTCTCTCGTCGTACGAAAGCAACTCCCGTCGATTCTGTAGATATCTAAGTTAGCTCGTCGATAGAGATGTCGGATGTGATGAACGCATGTGCCTACCGTAGCCCATTTGTCACGATTCTCCGTGGTCAGCATGCCCGTCCATCTCTTCTCCTCAAGGGTCAGGCCTAGGATAGCCCCAAATACTGCCCTTAGATGTTGATACGACACGATGTCATCTCCCTGCTGCAGGACAACTTTGAAGAGGTGACCTCTCCGAAGAACAGCTACGTACTCGTTGCCCGGGTACTTCAACATCTTATCGCAGCCTAGATTTGGCTCCCTTAAGGCGTTGAACAACCACAACAGGGAATTACCGCAATTCGCCTTCTCCCCTAGGTAGTCAGGCTCCAGGTTGCCGTTGTCGCGATCACGTTTGAACTCGCATACTGCCCTGGTGAGCGCAGCCGCTCGCTCAGCTTGGGAGTGCGTGGTGGTGCTATCAAAGTGGGTGCCGAGAAAATTGCTGTATGGGGCCAAAGGATATCTACGCTTGATGTGCAGTGCCTTCAACAAGGGCTCAGCGATCCAACTCTCGACTGTCGGATCCTCGGCCTTGATACGCAGCTGATTGTAAAGCTTACGACCGATACTGTTGGGTCCAACCAAAGCATGAGCCTTGCGACTAAGCTCAGAATACTCTTCTCGGTTGAGGGAGAAGTGACCGATGTTGTTAAGGAGGTCCTCGACTGCTTCATCAAGGTCGACAAGCGGATATCTTGGGAGCTCCTTCACGCTCCTGCAACAGTAAAAGCCGTGACCAGTTTCTTTGTTTGACTCAAGCTCAATCGTAGGTGACGTATGTAATGAGAGCTCGTCGCTCTTCGCCAGACTCATCCGACGCATCTCTTCAGGTATCAACTTAGATCGTGAAGCAACGATTGCAGTCAGAGCCATAATACTGCCACCGCCACCTAGCTCGGACGTCTGAAGATTGACTTGGAATGTGCGCACCATCCAATTCTTCAGCTCAATACTGACAAGAGAGTCGAGGCCAATGCTGGATAGCGACTGGTCAACTTTGATGTCATCAATAGGTCGGTCGAGAAAGACAGCGAACTTGGTCAACGTCGCGTTGCGGATGAGGGTTTCGGCCTCTGCCATCGTCTTGACACTGCCCAATGCCTTCCCGAAATCGATCTTGTCCGCGCGTGCGGTGCCCGTAGCCTGCTTCTCCTGAGTACGGGTCAACTGGCTGAAGACGGGGTTGTCCAGGAGGTGCTCGTCGTTAACATCGAGCATGGACTGGTGGGTAACCCCTTGGATCGTTTGATGGAGCTTGCTTTCTCTCGCAAGATGCGTCATGGCGTACTCGATATCGGCGAAGAATTCGTCAAAAGAGATGTCCATGACACTGTTCTGGCGCAGACCTGCTCTCATGCTGCTGATAGAGGTATCTCCCTTCTCCGATTCCTTCAGGGCACCGTGTGCATCGACCGAAACGACGCCGATATTGACTGACACGTAGTTCGTATGAGGATGGTTCGCGTGAGCATGGGCAAAAGCGTCCTGGAAACCATTCCCGGCGGCATAGTTGGATTGACCAGACTTGCCAACAACAGCAACAATAGACGAGAGCGTTATGAAGAAGGACAAATCCGGAGAAGCGAAAAACTTGTCGAGGTTGATGGTACCGAAGACCTTGTGCAACAGCGGTTTCGACCACTCCTCGACGGTCATCTGGGAGAAAGTCCGGTCCTAGTTATTGTGTTAGAAGACCATGTAATGTGTCAAGTCGAAAGTACGAGCTCAGCGCTCAATAGCTTACCTTGAGTATCATAGCGCCGTGGACTACGCCCCTGACAGGAGGTAATGCCGAGCAGTAAGAAGCGGCGCGCGCCATGCTCTCGTCGTTCGTAATATCGCATTGGAGGATATGAAGCTCTCCTCCGTGTTTCTGAACAGCCGTTGTGTACTTCTCCCTTGTCTCATCATCAATGGAGCGCCGAGAAAGAGACACAATGTGGCCGGCCCCACGTGCAGCCAAGAAAATGCAAATTCGGGAGGGAAGATCACCCAGGCCCCCAGCCACGACATATATGCCATTCTGACGTAGTTGCAACGGCAAGGGCTTAGGCGGAAGACCGTTGACCCTGGAAGAGGGTTCGATGGTGAGGACGACCTTGCCAGTGTGCTTTCTTGAGCTCAAGAAACGGAATGCTTCATCGATTTGGTCGATGGGGTAAATGGTGATGGGCTGAATGGGTCGCAGAACCTTGCGCTCAAATAAATTGACCACGTCTCCCAAAACACGATGGATTGTTTCGGGTTCCTGCGCCGAAACGGTCGTCATATCAAAAGCAACAAAGGTGATAGACCTGCTGAAAGCGGTCATATTCAACAAGGAGCCTTGTTGAATTGCACTCCTACTCAGCTCGACGAATGTTCCCAGTCTCTTGACGCAGTCGACACTATCTCTCAGTGACTCTCCTGTTGACGAGTTGAGGATTAGATCCACACCTTCGCCGTGGGTGAGCCGCATGATACCCTGCTTAAACGACCCAGCGTGACTAGAGAATATGTGGCTATCCGGAATACCGTACTCATGGACCAGGAGCTGTTTCTTTGCAGCGGTACTCACGCTACAAAAGGCAGTTGCTCCTAGATGCTGTGCAAGCTGAATGGCGGCTTGGCCAACGGCTCCTGACGCACCGTGAATGAGAATCGACTGTCCACTCTTGAGACGTGCGATATTTGTGATACAGTGATAAGCGGTAGCGAATGCATGCGGAAGAGACGCTGCTGTTGTGGAAGACATCCAGTCGGGGATCTTATGAGCGAGAAATCCGTGAGCGACTGGCAGGTTACTGAACGGTTGCGCACCGAACCCCATGACTCGATCGCCAACTTTGTGCACAACGAGCATATCTTCAGACACTACTGTCACGATGCCGGCGAATTCTCCAACCATCTGTGTGCCAGGACTCAATTGTCCGAGAGCCACGCAGACGTCCTTGTAATTTATGCCGTGGGCTCGGGCTTCAACCACAATCTGAGTTTGTGGGAGATTGTGTGAGTCGTCAATATGGTCCACAAAGTGTAGGGAGCTTAGAAGGCCTGGCGTCGCAAACTCGGCCTTGAGGACTCGGTCGCCCTGGTAGGGAATGTTAACTGGCTCTACTACGGCATCAGGTGTTGTACCACTGCGCGCCCACCTGAGGAATTCGGCATCCGGCTTTACGCGAGGTATCAGAACTCGACCGTTATCGTAGGCGAACTCAGGCTCAAGAGATTTCTGAGTCTCGACGGGCGGCCAAAAGCATCTTTGTGCCACATCGGCGATGAGTCTTGCCGTCTCATCTGGACATGGAATCGGGTACCGGACGTCCAGCGTGATGAGGCCATTGTTACCGCTCTCACGGCGGAGAACGCGGATTAGCGTGTTGACCACCCCGATGTACGCCGAGACGGCCGGATCGGCTTTGTCTTGCACAACAACCCATAATACTCTGCGTTTGGCGGCGAGAAGAGTATTGATAGACTTGAAAAGTTGTGGTGATGGCTCGAGGAGTAGTGGCTGGACAGCACTGTCAAGAACCAAGTAGGGGCTTTCCGAGTCCTTCTCGACGTCAACTTGGTCCCAACCACGCTCTACGATGTCGATGGCATGTGAGGCAAATCCCTTGACTATGAAATCAAGTCTGTCATCCGCGCAGTTCCCAAGCAGAATGGCGCCATGTCTAGCCAGAGTTCCATTAGGCGTAGAAGGTACAGCCTTGGCTACCATCATACATCCTCGCGCGAGATGGATACCACCAAAGCCATTTCGAGACAGGAACCCAGGACTCCCAAAACTGATGCGGTAAGCGTGACAAATGGCCCGTCGAGTGTTTCTAGGCTGATTCAATATTGTCAGGAGGCATCCATACACTACTTTCAAGATGATCGAGCGGCTCGCTCGACCAATTTGGGCCTTAATGTACCTATGGGCTTGGCTTCAGACTCTGAGCACAGTACCTTGGATTGCGTGAGCTTATTAGCCATCTTCGAACACCTCCCATGACGCAGTACCCTTCTGACTGGCTATTCACGATAGATTTGCATTCTTGGCTTGGGTGATAGGTGGCTGGGGCGGATGGGTTTCGTCTTACAAATGCTTCCTCAAAAAGTACCCCTACTGCGGCCGTCAATGGTGGGGATTCATCGTTATGGATCTGTTTGGTCCTGTCGTGGACATCTATGTCTACTTCACGATGAACAACGATAGCTGGTTAACAAGAGTAGCAGACATTCAAGAAATGAAATAAGCCGATGAGGATGTAAATTGAAGTTGACTTACCTTTTGATGATCTATTATCTCATTTCTTCGCCGCAATCACGATTGAACTCTTCCTTCATAGATGAAAAGTCGGCGGCTTATGTGTACTTCTCTATAAATTACTCTTTATTACATGCATATATGCGTCGGACCATCCTCAGGGTACCCAACTTGCCAACGGGGCTTTTAGACACATATCCCGAGTCTAGACTGAACTAGGGCAAGATGCTCAGTACAAGACGCAGAGCTATGGATTCTTGTGAAATTACTTCTCCGAAACTTCTTCGGCTGAGGCTCCAGCAGTCGGACGCTTGGTGTCAGGTATCTGTCGCCACTCCATGCCCCAGCTCACCAACCAAGCTAGGGCTGGGGTAGCAAGAGCAACCCAAAAAACGTTCTTCAAGGCAGAATTGAACGCCTCAACGACAGCATCCAGGACCTGCGGGGGGACAATCTTCCTGAATTCCCCTGCACCAACTTCCACCACAGCCGCAGCATCGATTCCATCAACCCGAGTAAGACGCCGTAGTAATGCATCTGTGAATAGATTCTGCCCGATACTAGGAGCCAAAGCCCCGCCCAGCATCTGGAAGAACATAATGATCACGAGGCCCGTTGGCACATCTGCCTTCTTGAGGACCACCTGAACAGCAAGGATTGGCATTTGGCTACACATGCCGTAACCGACTCCGGATGCGATTTGGGTTCCGATCCATTGACCGCGTGGACTGTGAGGATTTATAAGCTGGTAGAGGCCGCCTCCGATAGCCTGAATTGGGGCACCAATCCACATTAAAGGAACATAGTGTCCAAACCGCGACGAAATCCATCCAGCACAGATTGTGCCAAGACTATTGGACACGATGATGGGCAATAAAAATATACCTGAGTCTCTGGCGCTATTATTTCTCACGGACTGGAAATAGATTGGCCAGTAGTATGAGTTGAGCACGATGGCCACTTGTACGAGCATCATGAACCCACATGATGCCACGACGGTTCGGCCCCGCAATATACGGAGAGGAACAGTGGCGCTGAGGTAGTGAGCGTCAGTATGCAATTGGATGCAAAGCAAAGGTCTCTTGGACCGGTTTACACTGGTAACTTACGTCTCTTTGCCCCGAGCTTGCAAACCCACGAAACAAAGCAGCAGCAAGCCGAATCCGATGAGGCAGCCAAAGACTTTCGGGTCTGACCACGGATGAACAATTCCTCCCCACTGTAAAGCCAGGTTCAGACATGATGTTGCACCGAGAAGTATAATAGCGCCGAGCATGTCGAGTTGGCGTAACTTATCCTGCCACGGCAATCCTTCCTTGACAGCAGGTGGAGGGTTCCTCAAGCTGAACCATATCAGAGCTAGTCCGACAGCTCCAAAGGCTAAGGTCCGTCAGCTGAGGACTATTGAGAAAATAGCGGGCGGTCAACTTACGGAGGTTGAGCCAAAAGATGAATCGCCATGTAAGAGTCTTGCTATCAGTTATGGCGCCACCAACAAGCGGCCCTATCGCCGATCCGGTGCTGTACAGACCCAAGATAACCGGTGACAACTTTGCCTGCTTCTTCAAGGGGACGCAGTAAGACAGTATAGTGGTAGTCCCACTCACCAGCCCGGCAGCGCCTACGCCAGAAATGGCTCTTCCCACTATGAGGGTTATTGAATTTGGCGCGACGGCTGAGATGACCGAGCCGAGTTCGAAGACGACAAGGGACGTGCAGTACACCCATTTTATGTTGTAAAACGCATAAAGTCGGCCGCAGGTCGGTAACATTGCCATTTGAGCTATCAGATAAGAGGATCCATACCAGCCAATATCGTTTAGGCTGTGGAAGTCGCTTGTGATCTGAGGTATCGCGGTCGCTTGTTGTGCATTATGTTAGGCAAGGTTTCGGTCATTTATCGTGGTTGGGAGAGTGTTTACGGACCCAAGATAGTATTATCCAGTGCCAGAACGAAGCAAATAGCCATGAAGGCAATGGTGAGAGAAGCAAGAGCCCATCCTTGCATGTGGGCCGTAGTCTGCTGCTCTCCCTCGTTCTGTTGGTTCTCGAGTTGATTCGCAGTTGCTTCAACGGGCGGAGACGACTTCGTAGGATCGGTCGTCATTTTCTTGTCGAGAAGGGTTTCTGAAAGAGTCGTCGTCAAGACCAACGGGACTTTCTGAGATTTTGAGAAACAGTGATTGTAAGTTCTTGAGTCGAGGAGGAGTAGATCTGCTTGCTCAATGAATACGAACTTGTTGGGGTGACCGTCTGGAGCACAAAATCTGGTTCGTTGGATAGCCGGGCGGTGTGATCCATGCTAATCAGGCTAAGATGTTCCCTCTTGGCACTGTGGCAGTCTCGACCTATGAACGTGAGGTGGACAGATGACCGAATGATGCAAATAGCGGCACAGCCCGTTGGTCGCAGTATCTGGGGTATCCTCCCCCTGTGCGTCGCCTGAGGTTCAAATGTTCAATTTCTCTCCCAGGCCCGACGGGATACCGGGTTCTTCCCGCTTAATTCCCGCTAGGCCCCTATTGAGTCCAGTCCAACTGCTTGCAGTATTACCACGAGTACCTATCCATATCTACCATGCCTATCCTCGCCTTCCCCCAGGAGTACGATGACCCACCCATGCATTAGAATCTTAGCCCCACCACTCCCCGCCCCTCGAGCTGTTCTCCATGGTCCACGATACTTTTGATCACGTATTGAATCGCAACAAAGTAATATCATGTAGGGTAAATATGGAATCGGCCCAATACCTGATAACAACACGAACCGATCATCAGCTGTTATAGGAGGTCCAATGTGCGTATGTACGAGTCGGTCGAGATCCTGTGTCCGAGGGTGGAGTTGAGATGTAACCCCGCTGGCCCGCCTGCTCGTCAAGTCTGTTCCGGCCGAAGCTCAACTACGTCCAAACAAGTTACACTGGGTTATGGGTGGGGGCGTCGCCGCGTCGGCAGACCTGCCATATCCGTTAGTGTCTGGCCAACTGGGTATGGTACCCCGGATCGTGCTACATCCATACAATATGGGGTTGAAGAGTGCGGGCGCTAAGAGGAGACCACCTAATGCTGGACAACGAACACATAAGCCTCACATTATGAGTGCTCAGAATATCTGCCCGTGTGGTATGCAATCTCGGTAGGTATCATTGGATACATGTACGATGTCAGACCAACTTGGGACTGAGGCCGCTCATATTCTGCAAAGCTCTTCAGAGTTCCTTGAGTTGGTCCAAAAGCTCGAGTTGGCTGCACTAGACTGCAAGGGACCGGAGCATCCGCCTCCAATCGGTACGGCCGTCTATTTGCAAGTCTGTGCTATGTCTATACGATTGATCGAGATGCACTACTGGCTCTACTCATCGATTTACCACTGCCTGCAAAGAAGAGATGCCAACTTCACGGCGCAGGACGGTGTGATGAGCGACGCTGAGAACGGGCTATTCATTTCCATCGCGGGAGTGGAGCTGATACCGTCACCCAACCTGAGGCTCCAGATGCTTCTCCAAACAGCAGTACATTACCTCAACCGTGTTCAAAAGGCTCGAGGAGGGTTAGAAGCGATTGCGGCAGATGCCGCAACTGATGGACTAGGGTCGCCATCTCTGGCCTCAGGTTTGGATAAGTTGGTCAGCATTGATGAGAGAAGGACTATGGTGAAAATTCAAGCGGTACTAGACAAACTCAAGGATATAAGTGCATTTTCTTTAGATGCATTATCATAGACTAGATTTCTCAAACTCGTTCGAAGAAAATTGCTTTAGTAACCAGCGGAGCCAATGTTGAAGTTGACGCTTTAGAATCAATCTGTTCATTAATACCTTATAATGAGAGGATCGCCAGATCAAGTGTGAAAGATGTATCAATCTTAATCGAAGCGCCAATGACATCCATCGATAAGCCATAGGCTGTCACGATACCGAACTTGCGTGAGTCTGTGCTCACCTAGAACTACCACATGCCATTGTTTCGTCATGGGCTCCCTCTTTCGCCCACCAACTCATGAACTGACTTGATAACTAGGTATTCTCCCTCTCATTCAAAAACATCACTTTTTGATCACACATTATGCTTGACTGTCTCAGCCACATGAATGGCCAAGGTATTGATACAATGCTCAGGAGGTCGGTGTGCGATAATGATCATGTTGGTTCAAAGACCCTATTTTAAATCTGCAGGGGCCATGAACCAGATTGTGATCAGTCATCTGGAGGGCTTTATCACGTTCCTGTAGCGGAAACCACCAGCCCGGTGGGTTTTCACTCTTAAGCTTCTTCGAACTTGAGCGTAAAAATGAATTACTTCAAGCTGGCATCTCCCGAGCTCCGTTATCTCTGGGCCTGCACCCTATTTTTAACACGGCCTGTTAGATGTTGGGTCTCAAATATCGGGCCTCCAATGGATGATGGCCGACAAAAAGGCGAGGAGAGCGTAATATTGACGGAAACAGTAAATGTGGTGGGCTATCGCGAGCAGTGGCAGAGTTTCTAAAGCTATTTGCTTGAAATATGTTTCTATCCACGAATACAGGTGGCTTAAGCGAGGGCTTTTCGCCAAGCCTATATAGGCTATCTTTCACTTGATAAGGTTGCTCAAACTCCTAATGAGCGCAAAAAATACCTGCTTAAGTAATTACCTGCAAGCCTGCTCTCCTAATCGCACTTTTTCCATCATTTATGTATTGTCAGTGCCGGGGAGCTGAGGAAAACTACTAGACTGGCAGTCCCAAAAGGTATTTTCTTGTTTTTCCAATGAAGCTGAGCCTATTGATATACTTTCCACTAGACACTGCAGCAAAATAACCTCAATTACTGGACTTCGTCGTATGGTCTCAGCCCATCCTCAGATCCTTGAGGATCACCCGTGCCACCACCCTCTGCAGCTCCGGAGGCCTTGCCGACCATGCAGCAGGCTAACGATGATTCGTCACATGTACCCAGCTTGTACCAGCCTAGCCCAGATCGAGCTATCAATAACGTATGTTTATTTAAAATGATTTATTTTGAGTGTCCGCCAGCCTCTCCCAACCTAGCATCTGGTAATAACCTTTGTTATTGGCGATACATTGTGACTTGGGTCATTCCAAAAGCAACAGGTCCGACAGACTCAACTAAAGAAACTCTTCTCCGTCACTATGTCTCACGTCTACACATCTATATCAGCACTCACCTCTCTTGAATTTGACTCATATCCTCTCGGCGCTATTAAGGCCAATGGGTGGTTCCAAGATCAGCTCCGACTTAGTGCAAAAGGTCTTGGAGGCAACTTGTTCTACTTCTATCGTTTCGTCAAAGAAAGCACTTGGCTTGGGGGTACATGGGAGTACACCCCCTTAGACGAGGCAGCTCCGTACTGGTATAACTACATTGTTCCCTTGGCATACACGCTTGACGAGGCATCAGATCCGGATTTGTACATCGAAATCAAGAAACAGGCGGATTATTTTCTTGATTACACGTTATCTCACCAAGCTACGGATGGCTGGCTTGGACCAGAGACAACGCCCCATACTCGCGGTATCTGGGCGCGCTGTCTTTTGCTGCAAGGCCTCATGAATCATGCCATTGCGGACTCCTCAAAACGGCATACCATCATGAACGCGATCTTCCGTTTTGTTAGACTAGTGCACGCCATGCTCAAGGATAACTATGCGGGGTATATCCCACAGAAGGACGATGTTTTCGACTTACAGCTCTTTGGTGTTGCCCGCGCCCATGAGCTAGCACTAACTCTTCAATGGCTCTACGACCAAACACATGATACTCAAGATCGCAGAATCATTTGGGAGGTCATGGAGATGATGTGGCAAGGATCTCGAATAATGGAAAGAGATTGGACCATCTTCTTCGGGAAAGACTTTCCACAAGAGCCATCTGTCAGATATAAGTCTCTCAATTTCAAGCACGGTGTCAATGTTGCGCAAGGTTAGTCGCTAAGATGGAGACGCACGCTGATATTGACATCACATACACAGGACTCCGTTATCCAGCTCATCTATATCGAATGCACCCATCTCCTGAGCTGGCGAACTTATCCAGAGATGCTGTGCGCAAGACCTTCAAATATCATGGAACTCCCGCCGGATCAGTCAGTAGCGATGAGTACATCGGTGGCCTCTCTCCTCAACGGGGCTCTGAGCTTTGTTGCTCCGTCGAGCTTATGTTCTCATTGTCATACCTTTACCAACTCTTTGGGGACAATGACTTGGCCGACCGGGTGGAACTAGCAGCGTTCAACGCCATTCCAGCTGGAATTAGTGCGGATTGGTGGAGCCATCAATACATCACTCAGGTTAACCAGCCGTGGGCCTGTGAATTGGAACTTGCCAAAGACGAGAAGACGCCATTTTACGATGTCTGTCGATACGCCAATGTCTTTGGACTAGAGCCAGAATTTGTTAGTGGTCCGTCTAGACATCATGGGTCTTTCTACTAACAGGATACGAAAGCCTTGCTGTACTGTCAATCATCCTACCGCATACCCCAAGATGTTGATGAACGCCTTTCTCCGAGGTCAGACAAGCCATGGCGAGCCTTCAGTGGTCCATGCCCATCTCATTCCTTCTCGACTGGACATCGACGGAATAAGCATCAATTGCGAATCAAACTACCCTTTTGTTCCCTGCGCATTGCGTTATTCTATCCATGCGCGAGAGTCCTTCGAGTTCCTGATCCGAGTTCCACATTGGTCATCGAGCTCCTCCACAATAGAGCTATGTGGAAACGAATCACAGTCTCGACGAGAAACGCAACCTTTCGGCTCGACTGCTGGAAACGGAGATTCAGAATTCTTTCACCGTGTACAGATTCCTTCTGGAGGAAAATTTGTCATTTTCGTCACGCTGAACGCGGATGTGAGGGTCAAGGAACACGACGACAAGTCTGTCAGCGTTTACTATGGCCCCTTGCTCTATGCTTACGAAGTCGGCCACAAGACGATCACGAGACTTCCACGCAACTACAAAGACCAAAGCTCCGATTGTACAGAACTTGCAAATGTCAGCGATCAAGACGATGAGCCGTGGAGGAAAGCGTGCCGTGATCACGACTACCTCCCGAATTCTCGTTGGAACATTGGAGTTGACCCTAGAAAGGGCGTCAAAGTGATCGTTGAAAGAGACCCTTGGGTGGAAGGAGTTGAGAGGCAGGTGGCTGCTCTTCCGAACCCGATTTGGGCTTCAGGCACTTCGCCCGTATATCTCGAGGTTGAGGCTGCTTGGGTAGATTGGCCTGTTCAGAACGGAACAGCAGCAGACCCCAGTGCAGTCGATACAGCTGTGCACGGGGAGACATTTGTGGCCCGCTTGGTTCCATACGGCACCGCAAAGCTGCACATAGCACAATTCCCTGTACTGAGAACCGAGAAGATTTGACTGCACGTAAGGACTAGAGGGCGCGCTGAAAAGTTGAAGTTGAATCACATTCAGCGCTGAACATTCCCGCGACTATTACCTCGACTTATTGACGTCCTACTGAAAGTGTTACATCTCTTGATTGACAGAATTCATCTTACTCTCTGATACTCGGTTTCGACAAGGCATATTTTGGCTTACCTACTTACTAGTTCTTTATGTCCTTCCTATCGAATAGCTTTCATAAGAAATATTTATAACGCAAGCCATTGATCAGTAAGTCTGCATCGAGCCGAGTCTCAGTCCTTCTTGCAAAGTTGACCTTAATTAAGTTGACCTTAATTAAATTAAACTTTTGAAACCCTTCTCTTCATTCTTTGGCTTGGAAGTGAGCTACATGGATTGGACAGCTATCGATCATATTATCAGAAGCTCATCACTTTTTGACTTCCGACCGATTGACAGGTCAATTGCAATGATCTTCCTCAACATAGATGTTTCTTTCACTATCCTAAGTTTGAACAGTGTCAAGATCAGAGCAATAACCCAGATCCTCCATACCCTAGTCCCCACAGGTCGACATCCCATATCTCTAGACCCCAAGCAGAACGACCAAGTCGGATGGGGCCGTGTTTCGTTGCCTGGCTCTCAGGTCTCACGAGATTCATGGAAGTCTCATTTGGCTATTCAAGCTGATGTCTGTGCCGGCAAAGGCGGAAGTGAAGTTGTCTTGGTAGTCTTGGCGGTTCCATTCGTCTGATACGTACTATCAGGGTTGATCCTGATTTGTCCCGTGGCGATATCGAAACGATTACTGGTTCTGTTGAAGATCTGGAAAGCAGCAGCTGGTTGGAAGTCTACTGAGAGTTAGCGTTCACTAAATCGAGACTTATGGCTACTTCGGTACGAGCCGCGAAACGAAGTCACTTACAAGGTATCTCATGTCCAGCATTCCACACTCGAGTGAAGCTAAGTTTTCCGTATTGCCTAGTTTCGCCATAGGCTTCACCATCCACCATCAAGCTGGTGTAGCCTGCGTCGCGGAATTTCTCAGCCCCGGACCAGTTGGCCGTGAGTGAGAGCGCCTCGCCTCCCAGCCAGTTGCAGATGTAGTCAGCATCACCGTAAACTAACGACACCTGTACATCAAGTTCAAGAAGCTTTTCAACATCCGGAAGATATCCAACCGCAAAGTCACCTGAAAGGGTGTAAGCAGTGTAGAGCAGATTGCTTGACGTGTAGTTCAGATCAACACCAAGCGCGTTTTGTGCTTGGGCGGTGTTCAGCCAGGGCTGGTCACTCAAGTCAGTTTTGATACTAATTAGTCTCGGGTTTCTAGATAACACAACTTACTCGCCAGTTGTCAGGTGGGACATCTTTGCCAGATGGGAATCGCTGAGAAGGGTTAGCGCTATCAATTTTCAAGATGCAACGAAATTCCTTACGATATCATAGGTTCCTCGGCCTTCCAGGTTGAAAGTGTAGTACATGCCCTCAACATCGGATTGGCAGATGAATTGTGCGGCAGAACAAGCCGACCGTCGAACAATTGAGTCGCGTTCAAGATAGTCACAGTAGTCAAGCTTCTCTTGGCAGCCGCCAGGGCGATCTCGGTTCCACTTGCCGTATTCATAGATCGTGTCGTTAATGAGATCGATGCCATAGCCATTGTTTTCGCCTCGAGTGAAGTCAAGCAAGTATTTGGTCTGCACGTGCTCATCCACGATGCCGTTAACAATGCCGAGACTTTTCAAGTTGAGTTTGCGCCCGACCGGAGTGCTTTGCTCAAGTTCAGAGTTGCGCTCGTTGAATAGGGTGTAAAACGCCGGACCCCAATGCCCTCCGAATGACTCTGTCTCATTGTTAGTCAAAACCCTTCCTTTCATGTTGTAGATGAATGCTTACCAGCCCAGAGGTGAAAATCGATCGAAGAAATGTTAGAAGAGCTTAGCTGCGGCAAGGCGTCATAGAACCCCTGCACCACTTCCCAACAAGTGACAGCAGCCAGACGACTGGTGTCTTCTTTGGTAGGGTCGATGACTGACCAGCGGCCTTCGCGCTCATCGGAGGTTTCTGGCTCCTTGTCTACTAGAAGGTATGTAGGGTCAAGAAACCCCACCTCTTTCTCGCTGTAGGAGAAACCTGTTCATGTTAGATTGTGGATCTAAGTCAGAACTTCACATGGGCTTACCTGTTCCAACTGGTTGTGAGAGAAATAAGACGTTTGATATTTCATTCCAAGCGTAGTCTCGAAGTACGGTGGTCATGTTCTCAACCACTTCGCAAGGCCCAATCTCTTCAAAAAGACCGATTAAGGAATCGGAACCAGGACCACCATTGAGCCAAAGCGTCACCTTCAAATTAGATGGTCATTGTTGTGAATGCGATCATCGTTGGATTGGTGAATAACTCACCGGATCATTTGCAGGATCTCTGCGCGACTCAAAGAACCAGAAGAAGACATGCACGTCCGGGGCGATATCGATGTATCCACTGTAAGAGTTGACTCCAGGGGTAGTCTCACAAACGCCATCCTTTCCAGGCTGTTTGTAGCGTATTTGCGAGCCTCCTGGACTGGTGATGGTTGTCACGCCCTCTGCAGCACTCGGTGCTTGTCTCGGAGGCAGTACACCTGCGATGGCGGGGACTGCTGCCCCAGCGAAAAGAGACACCAGCAATCTTTGAAGCATCATATTGCTCTAATTGAAGTCAAATGTCAATGAACTCGATAGATTTTCAAGAATGACTACTCTTTCTTCTTGTTCTTTTTTTTTTGTTTCATTTTGGACTTCCTTGATATTTAATCTCGCTGCTAGGCATGGTTCATTCAGTTCGATTAACTAAGTAGGAAGCTCGATAATGCAACACGCAGTGCCCGTGGACGGACCTCCCACAACTTGGACGTGGCCTCGTATTCCCTCTATCATGGCAAATTTGTAGTCTCGGCGTATCTTGACATCCCAGCCATCACATTGCAACGCCAGAATCATATAGCAATTCGACCAGGCACTTGATGATCACAACGCCTGCCCGTCAAGACGTCATGTAGGTTGAGTCGACCTCCTTTGTGCGCGAAGCGGGGAAGGTTGGCTTGGTTCAAACAGCAAATATCCGCACCAATCGGACAATTTGCCAACAGGATGCAAATCGGAGTGTTCCCTTGAACCCAAATTGAAGTGCTGAATGCCACTGAAGATCGTTGCTTTATCCTACGTTACTCCGGGCAGCTCTCCGATCTCTGACGCTTATCTCTCGGATGGCCCGAACTTGCATGACACCCCTGTTGTGAACTCGAAGTCGTCCGGATTCCAAGACCACTCTCAAGGAAACAAGCCAGCAATCCATTTCAAGGTTCAACGTAATTTTTCTAGACGTCTTCGGAAGGAGTAATGACATTGCAACCAGGAATTCTTTTTTTTGGGTAAAGAATGAGTCCAATCGAAGGCACACTCTCGATAATGCTTGACGATCACGACTTAAGCACACAGAAAAGGCGAATCATCATAACGCTCTAATAAAAAGGCCAATTCGATCGAAAGAGCGTGAGTGAATCAATTCCTATCGTAACTATCTGGATTTTAATGTTCAGGTCCATTGAATGAGGATGATGATTAGGAGGCAGCGCCCCACGAGCTATTAGCGTAGGAGACTACTTAGTTCAGTACTTTTACTGGTGTCAACTTTCACTTGATTCCAACGCCTGGAACTGCCACATGACTTTAAAATTCGTCAACTTGTCTTTGATCTATATCAAAACTTCTCAGCGAAGGCGAGCCGGTCTCCAAGATTGCAAGGCATCTCACTTTGGTGGCCTTCATTCTTCTATTCAGCGGTACCAGTAAATCTCCAGTCGAAGGCTCCCATTCATCATAGCTATATCAGAAGACTTAGATGGGCAGACAATATTTCGGCGGCAACAGGATGTGGAGTGTTGACTTCTATTCTGAACTCTGAGGCGGCCTGACTCATAAGGTGAGTGAACATAAGGACGGAAAATGCGGCGGAGCTTTCAAGAATCGCAGCATGTGCTCAAAAGCTTTAAAAATGACTACTAAGTCAGTAGGCCCAATAGAAGCTTCTTTGGCCTGTGGAACTTCAGCACGTTCAAACTTTTCATGCGGCTTGATGTTCTGATCATGGCCGGTCGCATGGCAATGCCGATCTCCACGCTTGGCGAGGGCCAACCCGAAAGCTGCTGTAACGGCACATGGGCAAAGCGTCCAGTGAGATCGACCCCAAATCAGACGTCCAGCTTGGGATCGCTATGCTTCGCCACCATTCCTCACTTCTCTCGAGACCCGCATTATCCCGGCGCCCACAGCGTCTTTTGGTTAGCCTTACCATATCAGTGTCGGTGACCGGACCCCACACCCCTCCGGTGTTAAACGCCTCCCGAAGCGGTACCGGATCCGATGACACCTTGCGCCACCCCGCTCCATTACTTCTTGATAGCGTCATTGCGTTACACCACCTCCGGTCTTTGTCAACACTTCACTCCCGTCGTACTGTCGTTGCGATTCAAATACGTCCATATCCCCTTCACTTCCGTCTCATTCTATGTTTTCTTTATGCTCTCACTTGTACTACGGTATATCAGGCCGGCGTTTCGCTCGGGCTACACTACTTGGTAATCTTTTATGTTTTAAATGGCTGTTCCTTCTTTTGTCGAAGCCTGTTCATCGTCATTCTTTCAGAGATTTAATGTTGTTTCACTGAACATCTGATCACTCCCCCCTCCCAAAGGATTTCACCTCTTCCTCTTGTCTTGATACGTACTAGTATTCATCCTCTACTACATCGTCGCAAGAACCTTTCAGCCCAGGATATTTTTATTCAGGCTCCAAAAAACCTGTTGACAGAAATGGGGCGGTCTCGCCCAAGTGATTTCACTGGATGACGAAATGGGAGAGTCTTGGAAAGTACGAATGATCAAATGATCTGGATGGTCATGGAGGGCACGAAGAGCCAAGCGATGCTATTCAAGCTTCGGTGAAGCGTTTCGTGGAACAGTCGGTTGCTTTGTCTGCTAACCGATTCCGACTATTTAAGGATGGGACTTTATACATGCAACCAGCAAGCAGTTCTCACTGATTCTATCTTCTCCATCGTCTCTTTTTTCCAGTGATTTCAGCACATCACATGCAACACGAAGGAGCTGGGATCAAACCAGGAACAAGAATTTTCAGGCAGCACGTTCATTCAAGGAGCAAGCTCTAGCTTCAAATACTCGAATATACACACGAAAAATAGCACGTTGTGCCGATCAATCATCATGGCGGATTCAAAGAAGCCGTTTCTGACGCCTGGTGAGTGTTTAAGTTGATTGTCCATTTTGGTCACCTCAGAGCCTCTTACTTACAATTATTCTATAGATCAAGTGAGAACTGCGGCTCTTACCTACGTGGATATTTTGGAGAAAAGTATCACCAACGGCGCGGCCATCGCCGGAACCGTGACGTTTCTTGTGAACGGAGGTGTTTCGTTCAGAATTCGACTTAACACGCCAAACGACAGCTGTCAAAAAGGGAACTGCAAGGAGTTCATCCTTGCTGTACTAGCTCACATTGTCAACTGGAAGCTGCAGGGGCAAAATCGGGGAGAAGCCGACCTTGTGCTACTGCCTGAAAAGCTGAAGGAAATCCTGCTAAGCGACTCGCTGGATTACGCCAAGTTCAAGGCGTATTTCACAAACAGAGCGAAGATTCCTGTTGTGGGTCTAAAGGGCGTTGACAAATGCCTCAGCACCGATGAAAATGTGCTACCTTGGCTCCAGGCTCATCGGTTTGAGAGGGGCCTGGAAGAAATCAAGGTGGAGGTACCCGGTTCGTTGTGCAATCGACAGGTCCGCCTCTTGCTCTAGTAGCCGCGAAACTCTGGACCAGAGGATTTTCATAAATACACGCAGCAAAGCGAGATGAAATTAACAGAGGCCAGTGACAGCCTATTCTATCATACGATGCTTAGATAGAATGATTGCCTTCCTCTAGACTTCTGCTTCATTTGACGTGATGAGAGCCTACTGTTGATTCCCGAAAGCTCAGTCCGGGAAGAAAAGCCCATGTAATTACGGCCAAATCCCGTAACTCCCAAATCGCTACATTGAAGGCATTAGTATCAATGTTGTTCGAGGGGGATGATTGGCAACAACATGTAGGTCGATGTTTATAGTAAGGAAGTAATAAGTAGGTAAGCTCAGATCTTTATGAGGAGTCCGATATTTATGTTTTGATTTCAACCGCTATGAGCCCCAGAGTCAACCTGGTAAGACTAGAAAGCTTGCATCTGCGTACTTCTTGTGAAGTTGTGGGATCCTTTATTCTCATGCCGTGTGTTAGGTTGGAGAATGAACAGACCAATAGCATCGCATCTGGAGTCGGAAGCAGCGATAACGGTGACCCCACGTCAACCCCCCCGCCGTCCGCAGTGCTATCTCTCCGTGCTTGGCTGCGGCTTGCGACGGGTTCAATGCACCCCGCATGGAACCAACAGCAAAGAAACCAATGCTCGAATAGGAATTTGGAGATAGCCAAAGTTCGGGATTCCCTTGCTAAGCGGGCCAGTCATGCCCTCAGTGTTATCAGCCACCTTGAACTACTTCGCTTTCGGACGTGGACTGCCGGGAATACGCTGAACTAAGAAATGTTATGGGCAACAGTAGTGCGAAACCCCGCACCCTGATTGTTGGAGGTTCGGACTGCCCTTCCGATATCTCTAGTTTCTGGCTTCTGTGCGAGACGTCACTCGGATACCTTATCCACCGTACACCACAGCTCTCGCTGCCCTACGCTGTCAGCCTCTGGAAGTGCTTCCGAGTTTCGAGCCAAGTTGGGAAATAAGTTCTTGTGGCCTTAGAAATGGAGTCGTCTAACACTCAACGACGTATCACGAAACGATCATCTTACGCGTGCGTTACATCGAGTCCCCCTCGCTACTCATGAGGCATGGCCTTACTGATAGGTCATCACCAGCTGCTCGCGATGTCGGAGGCAAAAGATCAAGTGCTCAGGCCTTCACCCGTGCAACAATTGCACGCAGAGGCGGTTGACATGTATCTTTGACGAGCGGGACAACAAGGTTATGGTAACGCAGGGGTGAGTAGTGACTTAGTGCAATAGTCGACACACACTCGATTAGGTTGCACTTCTCTGACATGGTATTTCTGTCACAGATATCTCTCCGAGTTGCAACAAAAAGTGGCACAGTTGGAGCGCGCTCAAGCAAGGGCATTAGTGGAGGAAAGCTTGAGGCATGCCGATGGCGACGACGATGCCGTCGCGTGTCGTGAAGGTACAGTTTCCTGGCTGAGTGTGAGTCAAGCCCATGCTCATTCAGCTAGATGATCCAAATAACCCGTCACGCTTCGATGAGCGCAGACGAAGTTATCACACGCCAGACGGGACAGGCGGAAACTCACCACCTGGAGATGGAGATGGCCCAGACTTGACAAATCCTCTGACTGCAACGCCATCTCGATTCTGCATGTCTGAGTCCAATGGACAACCGTGTGAGTTCTTCACTCTAGTAACTGCACCTTACAACACACAACTCATCCAAGCCTAGACTTCCTTGGCTCTTCTTCAAACTGGTCCTTTTCCCGCCAAGTCCTAAGCGTCACACACGAACACGTCTGCCAATCTCCTCTTCCAACAAACAGCCTCCTTTTCGACGGCTTCGCCTACGACCTCGGCTGGGA